TGTAGCTCGCTGTACCCCTTTGTGCGCTGCGTCTCCAACCCACTCACTGTCACACCAGCTCTCTTTTGCGTGTCAATCCACTTTGCCTGTTGCCCTTCCACCCCTTTTCACCCCGTTCCACCCCCTTCCACTCCTCTACAGGTGGAGCTCTACTTCCTGCTGCCCTTTGTCTACTGTGTCTCCAACCCGCTCTACCTCATCTTTGCCATCGTCTTCTTCGTCCTTGCCTTCGTCGCCTACCGCAACCAGGTGGGTGCAGTGGGGTGGGGTGGGGTGGGGTGGGGTGGGGGCAACTTGGGGCTGCATAGTGGGTGGGGCTGCTGCAGCTAGGTGGGGTAGGGTTGGGGTCACTAACGACTGTACGGGGCTTCTGCAAGCAGGTGAGGTGGAATGGAGTGAGGCTCAGCTTACTATTGACTGCATGGGCCTGCCGCAACCACGTGGGCTGGGCAGACGTAACAAGGTGGGGTGTGGCTGCTGCTACGGGATGGATTTTATTAGGCTTTATTTTTTATCACCGCATCATGTTCTCTCAACCTTCCCCTTTTAAATCCCCCCATCCCCCTCCCCACACCAACCTCATTCCCCTCTGTTCAATTTCCCCCCTCTCAGATGAACAATGTGGAGTATGAGCTGGCGAAGTACCATGCGTACCGCATTCTCCAATTCCCTCTCCTGACCTCCTCCCCCATTCCCCCATCTCCAGATGATCAACGTGTACAACGCGGAGTATGAGACGGCGGGAGCCTACTGGCCGCACTTCCACGCGCGCCTCATCGCCTCCATGATCATCCAGCACCTCACTCTCATCGGCATCTTTGCTCTCAAAGAGGCCCAACTGCAGGTGACGCCAGCTCAACCGCCTCCTCCTCCCCCTGCTGCTGCTGCTGCTGCTGCTGCTGCTGCTGCTGCTGCTGCTGCTGCTGCTGCTGCTGCTCATGTGAAATTAAGGCATACATATCTGGAACAAGGTGTCGTTGTTGCGAGCTGCAGTTCATGGCACCTCACAGCGCTGCTGCATGCATGTACAGCATCACGTTTGCGAGCTCTCAAAAGACACTGCTGCACATTGTGTGCCAAAGCATCCCAGAACCTGCTCAGCATTTTCCCCCATGGCTCAGTTTTTGTACTCTCATTCTGCTCCCTGTTACCGTGTGTACCCCAAAACGAGCAGGTGTGGTTCTTGATTCCACTGCCCATCGTCACCGTCGCCTTCCACTACGTGTTCATCAGCGGACCATTCGACTCCAACTTCTCCAAATACGCTCTTGAGGCAAGTGGTGGTGGCACGTGGGGATTGTTTCTTGTGCCGATCACTGGAAAGAAAACTTAGAAGCTATCCGTTCATGGACAGACCCTTTGATTCTTACTTCTCCGAATGCCCCCTCGAGGCAAGTGATGGTGGCAAGTGGAGATTATGGGCGGGGGAACGGAAGCAAGGGACGCGGAGGATGGCACAGGGAGCCACTTTTGAGAATTCTCAACGGTGCACCGATGCAGAAGCACATGCGGATCAGGGAGGCAATGGGAGTTTGGAACAAGGAGCAGGGGACACGATCGACTGCACCACACCATCAACTGCACCACACCATCAACTGCACCACACCATCAACTGCACCACACCATCAACTGCACCACACCATCAACTGCACCACACCATCAACTGCACCACACCATCGACTGCACCACACCATCAACTGCACCACACCATCAACTGCACCACACCATCAACTGCACCACGCCATCAACTGCACCACACCTTCCACTGCACCACACCATCAACTGCACCACACCATCAACTGCACCACACCATCAACTGCACCACACCATCAACTGCACCACACCATCAACTGCACCACACCATCAACTGCACCACACCATCAACTGCACCACACCATCAACTGCACCACACCATCAACTGCACCACACCATCAACTGCACCACACCATCAACTGCACCACACCATCGACTGCACCACACCATCAACTGCACCACACCATCAACTGCACCACACCATCAACTGCACCACGCCATCAACTGCACCACACCTTCCACTGCACCACACCATCAACTGCACCACACCATCAACTGCACCACACCATCAACTGCACCACACCATCAACTGCACCACACCATCGACTGCACCACACCATCAACTGCACCACACCATCAACTGCACCACACCATCAACTGCACCACGCCATCAACTGCACCACACCTTCCACTGCACCACACCATCAACTGCACCACACCATCAACTGCACCACACCATCAACTGCACCACACCATCAACTGCACCACACCATCAACTGCACCACACCATCAACTGCACCACACCATCAACTGCACCACACCATCAACTGCACCACACCATCAACTGCACCACACCATCAACTGCACCACACCTTCCACTGCACCACACCATCAACTGCACCACACCATCAACTGCACCACACCATCAACTGCACCACACCATCAACTGCACCACACCATCAACTGCACCACACCATCAACTGCACCACACCATCAACTGCACCACACCATCAACTGCACCACACCTTCCACTGCACCACACCATCAACTGCACCACACCATCAACTGCACCACACCATCAACTGCACCACACCATCAACTGCACCACACCATCGACTGCACCACACCATCAACTGCACCACACCATCAACTGCACAGGGGGCATGGGACACAGGGAGCATGGGACACAGGGAGCATGGGACACAGGGAGCATGGGACACAGGGAGCATGGGACACAGGGAGCATGGGACACAGGGAGCATGGGACACAGGGAGCATGGGACACGATCGGCGGCACCATGAGACGCGACCTGGATCCCTCATCCTTCCTTCCACACCTCCAACCCCCTCCTTCTTTACTCCTCATCCTCCCCTTTCCCACTTCCTGTCCCATCTCCTTCTGTCCGTTCATTCTCCCCCCCTCTACAGGAGGCGAACCGCAAGGACACGATCGACCGCACGATCAGCCCCGACCTGGACCCGTCGTCGTTCCTGGCGCGCGCGTACCTGCACCCGTCCCTGCAGTCCGCCTTCCAACTCCTGGACGAGGAACAGGACGGGCAGAACGGGGCCGATGGGGGCGTGGGAGACGCGGGAGAGGGGGGAGATGGAGCAGGCAAGGGGGGTGAGAAGGACGGGAAGCGGAGGAAAAGTGGGGATATGGGGTCAGATGCAGAGAAGGAGACGAAGGGGGGTGCGGCAACCCCGGAGAGTGCATGGCAGAGTAACGAGGAGAGGAGGAGGGGCAAGGAGTTGGAGAAGGGTGGGGAGAGGAGGAGTAAGGAGTTGGAGAAGGGGAGGGAGAAGGAACCACAGGTGAAGCTGGTGGCTGTGAAGAGGCATCCCCGCAGCACGCAGGCGTCGCCAGCACCGGAGGCGATGGTAACCGGGTTACGAGCGTCGAGCCCTCTACCAGCAGGCACAGCTGAGAGAGCAGCAAGAGGGATGTCTCCTGTGAGAAGCTCTGCTGCTGCGGAGGCGTTCAGGAGAGCAGACAGTACAGACGAGCTGGCGTTTGAAGATGCGCCTGATTTTTCACCTTTGCATTCACCTGAGGCTGATTTGCAGTTGTCGAGTGGGGCAGGAGTGCAGGCGGGGCCAGCGAGGGCGCCATCTCCTGCGACAGCTGGCACGCTGCCGCTGCTGCAAGGGAGAAGCAGAGCTGAAGATGATGGGGCAGGTGGGGGGAGGTCCTCCTTTAATCTATGAAATGAGCGCTCATGTGAAGAGAGGAGCCAGCTGTGAGCAGACCGGGGCAGAGAGGAGATGGCACACACAGTGTTCAGATTTACTGAGAGAATAAAGCGCTCAAGCACAGCAGAATGTGTCAATAATGCAACAGCCCCAAGGAAAACAGGAAGGCATATCGTGTATGGTGGCAGTAAGGTAATGGCAGTGAATATAAGGTACCGCCGGTATGATTGTTTAGCCAGTCTATAAGTAATTCGGCTCGAATGCGTAGGACTATTCGTATGTATGTGTACAAAAGCTCCTTGTAACAATCACCTGCATTGCAACCTAGCCTGCCTGATACCGTCATACCCCGGATATACCCCCATGGGGGGCAATAATAAAACAGGTTTTTTTTAGGGGGGTGGGCTTATAATCGGGTAACTTTATAAGCGCCGGCGTTTATAAAACGACATATATAGTTTATATATTTTTTAACACCAACCTGTAGTTCTCGTGCTTGCATTTTCAACCGAGCCGAAGTTACATGGAGTCGTCTGTGAAATTCTCGCGCGCACTGGGAGATACACCAAATCTGACAGCTCCTGACAGCTTCTGACAGCTTCTGACAGCTCCTAACAGCTCCTGCTGACTGGACCCGCATCCAGTGCAGGGTCCGAATTTGAAGGGAACCGAATCTGGAGACATCCGCTTGCTAAAGTAAAATTCGTTACAGGGTTTTGAACCCATTTCAAGAATTAAAGTTTACGTGCGCTTATAATAAAACAGGTTTTTTCAGGGGGTGCGCTTATAATCTAGCAGCGGATATAAGCGCCATGCGCCAATTAAAAGCGCCAGGCGCTTATCCGAGGGTGGCGCTTATATCCGGGGTATGACGGGTACTCTTCTCTTCTGATTGTGGTAATGGAGCAGACAGACATCCCTCCAAAAAGGACCTCAATGGTACGTACCGTACCGGCTGTGTGAAAGGCTTATGGTGTACTGCAAAATTCGCAGCTTGTTATCCATCATGTGTTCATTTATTTCCTTAACAAGGTGTTCGTGTCAGCAAGGTCTGAAAAGCCCTGCTGCCTATCTCCCTAGCCTCCATTCCGCGTTCTATTCCAAGTCAACAAAAAAAAATTACCTAGAGTGCAGCCACTGGGACACGGCAAGCAGCATGCTTTCAACAGCAGAGTCAGCAGCATGGGCGGGGCAGCCACCCCATGCACCACCCACCCGCCATCTCCCTCACCTCCACACCTCCACCCTGCCGAGCTTGAAGTCAACATAACAAAGCTATTTGGAGTGGAGCCATCGAGACACGGCAAGCAGCGCACTTTCCACAGCAGAGTCTGCAGCATGAGAGGCCACCCCTCGCACCACCCTGCCCGCCATCTCCCTCGCCTCCGCCCTGCCTGCCGTCTCCACCAGCAGCGGCACCCACAGCTCCGGTGCTCGCTGCACTGCTGCTGCCAGCGCTCCCAAAGGGTCCACAGGAGGTGCCTGGGATGGGCGGGTGGGGGGTATGGGTGAGTGAGAACATGGGTGGGGAAGATATCAATGAGAGCAGCGGCACCCACAGCTCCGGTGCGCACTGCACCGCTGCTGCCAGCGCTCCCAAAGGATCCACTGAAGGAGCACGGGATGAGTGGAGGATGTGGGTGGGGGGGGGTGGGTGCGGCACAGGTGGGGAAGGAATGAATCTAGGAGAGTGGCGGCAGTTGCAGCTCCGGTGCGCGCTGCACCGCTGCTGCCAGTACTCCCAAGGGGTCCATTGGGGGAGCCTGTGATGGGTGGGTGAGGGGCATGGGTGGGACACGAGGGAATGGAGGAGAGCAGCAGCAGCAGCAGCCACGGCTCTGGTACCATCGTGATATACGGGAGTTTTTGAGACCAGCAGCAGCCACAGGTCAAAAACTCCCTTTACTCACACGGCTCTGGTACCATCGCTACCGCTGGTTGCGGTGTCTCTGGGGGCTGAACAGGGGTTGCGTGGGATAGTTCGGAAGGCACGCTGAGTCACAGGTGGAAGAGAGATAGGTCGACTTCTGAGAATTAAGAAAATGAGAGACATGTCAACTATTCCGGAATGCGGTTCGTCAAGTTACGTGCTCACCTGTTCCTTTCTCGTGCTAGATCTGCTGTATTGTTCCGTCCCAGCCTCTCCTCTGTCTCTCCATTGTGTTGTCACGTTGTCTGCTTCTTGCCGTATCCCACCACCACCAGAACCACCCAGTCTGCTACCCCCCGATCCTGCCTCTCCTCCCGTCTCTCCCCTCCCCTCCTGCCTCACACCTCTCTCTCCTCTACTCTCTCCCCTCCCCTCCTGCCTCACACCTCTCTCTCCTCTACTCTCTCCCCTCCCCTCCTGCCTCACACCTCTCTCTCCTCTACTCTCTCCCCTGCCCTCCTGCCCCACTCCTTCAACCCCTCTTCTCCTTCCCTTCCCCTCCCTCCTCCCCACCTCCTCCTCCTCCACCCATCGCTCCTTTCCAGTCGACCCAACCCTCTCATCCACCCATTGCTGCCCAGCAGCCACCGCATCAAGCACGAGCCACCCTCTTGTGCTGCTGCCCTCGGCAGACAGCACATACGCCAGAAAATCCCCTGCTGCTGCCACCACTGCTGCCTCATCCACCCCCTCCCTCAGCTCATCCCTCTGTCCCCGCTGCCTCTCCTTTTGTGACGTTTCAAAAGCCCCTGCTGCCGCCACCACAGCTGCCGCATCCACCCCCTCCCTCAGCTCATCCCTCTGTCCCCCCTGCTTCTCCTCCCCACTGACGGTTGTCTGCTGCTTTTCCTCTGCAGAAACCCGCGCCCTTGTTTCCCCCTCCTGAGCTTCTATAGGAGAGCTATGGTCCAACCCAGTGGAGTGCTGTGGGGATGGCTTGGAGAGCACGGACGCCTGAAGGTGGTGATGGGAGAGGAGGGAGGAGGGAGGAGGTGGGGTGGGATGATGCGGTTTGAGACGTCTCCGAACCAGCTATGCGGATGGATTGATGTGTGCCTGTGTGCTATGTTGTGGCCGAATGTTGAGATGTCTAACAAAAAAAACTACAAACACGTGGTGCAGAAGATGCCGCAAGCCTGGTGAGCTGTACAAGCAAAGCCCGTGCTGATCTGTGGCTTACGGTGGTGACATGAGGACATGCACGTACCATACCGTGCATGTCCTCATGTCACGCTCACCAGTTGCGGATCCTCCTTGCACTGCCACCATACCATACACCTCCATCTCACTCAATCAGATGACTGAGGTTGATTTGGAGAATTCTGTTTGAGGTTGATTTTGAGAATTCTTAAAATCAACCTCAAACAAAGAGAATTCTCAAAATCAACCTCCTTGCAGTGCCACCATAAACCTCCATCTCACTCAATCAGATGACTTCTGAGTCGACTTAAAATGCGTCTTCCATCTCACTCAATTTCACCACTCGCTGCACGCACTGCCAGCGGATAGCAACCGCTGGCAGCGCCTGCAGCGAGTGGTGCAGGTGGTGTCTCAAACCTATTGAGCTGCTGATCAGAGTAACGGCTTTCTCTCTGCCCTCGCTCACGCTAGCCACTCGCTGCATCTCACCAGCATTTTATGGTGCTTGTGAAGCTCACCAGTCGCTGCAGGCGCTGCCAGCGTGTGATGAGTCTATTTCTGAGTCGACTCAAAAATAGACTCATTGCCAGCGAATGGACGGCAAGGCACAGCAGCATCTGGCGCAGAATGGCCTGCATGTCTGGTGAGGTGGTGATCAAAGCAAGGGCTTGTGTGTGTCCACTCCCTTACAGCAGTACCGTGCATCTCGCTCAACCACACCAGTCGCTGCATCACACCAGTCGCTGCATCTCACCAGTCGCTGCATCTCACCAGTCGCTGCATCACACCAGTCGCTGCATCACACCAGTCGCTGCATCACACCAGTCGCTGCATCTCACCAGTCGCTGCATCTCACCAGTCGCTGCAGGCGCTGCCAGCGGATGGCACCCGAGGGCCAGAGCAGCATCTGGCGCAGAATGGCCCGCATGTCCGGTGAGGGGTCAGAGAGCAGGCGCGCTATGATGAATGGGTACGCTGTTGCCACCACCTGGTGAGGGAGAGGGGGGGGGTGGAGAATGGCAGTGAGGAAGGTGTGGTGTGGGGTCACTGTCCTTTGATACCCCCGATGGCCAGAGCAGCATCTGATGCAGAATGGCCCGCATGTCTGGCGATGGGTCAGAGAGCAGATGATGAATGGGTACGCTGCTGCCAACACCTGGTGAGGGACGAGTCGGAAGGTTGCGGATGGAGAAGAGGGAAGGAGGAGAGAGTGAACTGACAAGGGAAGAACAGCCTTGAGGAGCTGATAGGGTGGTTCGCTGGCAGCGGAAAAAAAGGTTGGGGTGGGGAAGTGAGAAAGTGGGGGAGAGAGTGAGGCATGTCAAAGGGGCAGCACGGCAAGTCCAAGGGGCAGCACAGCAAGTCCAAGGGGCAGCACGGCAAGTCCAAGGGGCAGCACAGCAAGTCCAAGGGGCAGCACAGCAAGTCCAAGGGGCAGCACAGCAAGTCCAAGGGGCAGCACAGCAAGTCCAAGGGGCAGCACAGCAAGTCCAAGGGGCAGCACAGCAAGTCCAAGGGGCAGCACAGCAAGTCCAAGGGGCAGCACAGCAAGTCCAAGGGGCAGCACAGCAAGTCCAAGGGGCAGCACAGCAAGTCCAAGGGGCAGCACAGCAAGTCCGACCTTGAAGTTGGGGTCGAGAGTCGTTGCCGTGCCTTCGAGTGAGCCCAGGGCGCGCACAACGAGGGAGAGGTGCGGCGGCAGGCTGAGAGGATTGCCTCTCTTCTTACGAGTTGACTTTTGAGTCGACTCAAATGTCACCTGAGAGGATTGCCTCTCGTCTTACTACGAGTTCATTTGAGAACGGACCTTGAAGTTGGGGTCCAGCGTTGTGGCCGTGCCTTCGAGCGAGCCCAGTGCGCGCACAACAAGAGAGAGGTGCGGCGGCAGGCTGAATCGGAAGCGGTACATCACTGAGGAGAGACGCAGGATGACCCCCTGTGGGGGAGGGGATGGGGAGAAAGGTGGAGAGAAAAAGGACGTGTGATGTGAACTGCGAGAGGAGAGGCAGCAGGCTGAATCGGAAGCGGCACATCTCTGCGGAGAGGCGCAGAATGACACCCTGTGGGGGAGAGGATGGGATGGGGAGGACTGAGGGAGAGGCGAGGGTGCAGTGGAGGGGATCGGGAAGGGAAGTGGGGATGCAAAGTATATTCTTGGGACGCCTAAAAACAGATGCAAAAGTCAAGGCTCAAGCAGAGGCGGTACATCACTGTTGAGGGACGCCCTGGCATGCCATGGAGAGGATGGGTTACAGAGAGTCGAAGTTAGAGAGAGTCGAGGTTCGAGAGAGTCAAAAGAAACTGAGTTGACGCGAAATTGGTGCTTGAGTGAGGGAAAAGCAGAGAAAGACTTTACCGGTAATGGGGGAATGGGGGAAAGGGTTAGGACGATGACGTGTGGCTTGGAGGCGCGTCAATAATGCGGGCCACACCTGAAAGTCCATGCCACTCGTGCTGCCACTCATGCTGTCCCCTTTCCTTGCCGCGCCTTCCCGGAACACCTCTGCGAGTGCAGCAGCAACAGGCGCCACGTCTGCCAGGGGCGGAATGAAGTGCTTCCATCACAGGGGAGTCCGTCACACGAGCCATACCTGAAAGTCCATGCCACTCGTGCTGCCACTCATGCTGTCCCCTTTCCTCGCCGCGCCTTCCCGGAACACCTCTGCAAGCGCTGCAGCAACGGGCGCCGCGTCTGCCTCTGGCGGAATGAAGTGCAGCGCCCGAAAGTCTTGCGCTAGGCCGTGGGCGTCGCGATTCACATAGTGCACCACCTGGGTGGGCGATAGAGGAGGGGAGGGGAGGGAGGGAGGGAGGGAGGGAGGGGGGAGGTGTAGATTGTCACAGGCTGTGACGGGACATTGGGGGATGGCACGCAGTGCAGCGCCCGAAAGTAATGCGCCAGGGCCTGGGCCTGTGCACCACCTGGGTGGATGATGTATGATCACCTGGACCCTCACTCATCCCCTCACTCATCCCCTCACCATCCCCTCACTCATCCCCTCACTCATCCCCTCACTCATCCCCTCACTCATCCCCTCACTCATCCCCTCACTCATCCCCTCACTCATCCCCTCACTCATCCCTCACTCATCCCCTCACTCACTCATCCCCTCACTCATCCCCTCACTCATCCCCTCACTCATCCCCTCACTCACTCATCCCCTCACTCATCCCCTCACTCATCCCCTCACTCATCCCCTCACTCATCCCCTCACTCATCCCCTCACTCATCCCCTCACTCATCCCCTCACTCATCCCCTCACTCATCCCTCACTCCTCCCTTCACTCATCCCCTCACTCATCCCCTCACTCATCCCTCACTCATCCCCTCACTCATCCCCTCACTCATCCCCTCACTCATCCCCTCACTCATCCCCTCACTCATCCCCTCACTCATCCCCTCACTCATCCCTCACTCATCCCCTCACTCATCCCCCTCACTCATCCCCTCACTCATCCCCTCACTCATCCCCTCACTCATCCCCTCACTCATCCCCTCACTCATCCCCTCACTCATCCCCTCACTCATCCCCTCACTCATCCCCTCCCTCATCCCCTCACTCATCCCCTCACTCATCCCCTCACTCATCCCCTCACTCATCCCCTCACTCATCCCCTCACTCATCCATCCCCTCACTCATCCATTCCCTCACTCATCCCCTCACTCATCCCCTCACTCATCCCCTCACTCATCCCTCACTCATCCCCTCACTCATCCCTCACTCATCCCTCACTCATCCCCTCACTCATCCCCTCACTCATCCCCTCACTCATCCCCTCACTCATCCCCTCACTCATCCCCTCACTCATCCCTCACTCATCCCCTCACTCATCCCCTTCACTCATCCCCTCACTCATCCCCTCACTCATCCCTCACTCATCCCCTCACTCATCCCCTCACTCATCCCCTCACTCATCCCTCACTCATCCCCTCACTCATCCCCTCACTCATTCCTCATCCTCACTCATCCCCTCACACATTCATCCCCTCATATCACTCATCCCTCACTCATCCATCCCCTCACTCATCCCCTCACTCATCCCCCACTCATCCCCTACACTCATCCCCTCACTCATCCCCTCACTCATCCCTCACTCACCCCCTCACTTCATCCCTCACTCATCCCCTCACTCATCCCCCTCACTCATCCCCTCACTCATCCCCTCACTCATCCCCTCACTCATCCCTTCACCATCCCCTCACTCATCCCCTCATTCATCCATCCCCTCACTCATCCCTCACTCATCCCCTCACTCATCCCCTCACTCATCCCTCACTCATCCCCTCACTCATCCCCTCAATCATCCCCTCACTCATCCCCTCACTCATCCCCTTCACTCATCCCCTCACTTCCCTCATCCTCACTCATCCCTCACTCATCCCCTCACTCATCCCCTCACTCATCCTTCACTCATCCCCTCACTCATCCCTTCACTCATCCCCTCACTCATCCCCTCACTCATCCCCTCACTCATCCCTTCATCATCCCTCACTCATCCCTTCACTCATCCCCTCACTCATCCCTTCACTCATCCCCTCACTCATCCCTTCACTCATTCCCTCACTCATCCCCTCACTCATCCCTTCACTCATCCCCTCACTCATCCCTTCACTCATACCCTCACTCATCCCTTCACTCATCCCCTCACTCATCCCTTCACTCATCCCCTCACTCATCCCCTCACTTCATCCCCTCACTCATCCCCTCACTCATCCCCTCACTCAGGATCGATCACTCCGCTCACCAAATGGAGTGGGCATTGGGAAGAAAGGAGGAAAGGAGCGTCTGCAGCTGCTACCGCTGCGACTGGCCCACTCACGGCGCGGATGATGCTGATTCGCTGCTGAGGTGGCAACTCGCCCATCATGCCAAAGTCAAAGTACGCCAGCTGGCCGCCACGTGTCACCACCAGATTGCCCGGATGCGGGTCCGCGTGGAAGAATCCCTCCTCCAGCAGCTGGCGCAGCGAGCAGAGAACTCCCTGGAGTGATGGGGGGAGAGGAGGGGGGTGGTGGGGTGGGTGCAGAGTTGCGGTTGAGCAGACTGTGTTGACCGCACACACGCACACACACACATGTATATATATATATATATACACATATATATATATTCAATTTGACATCTATATTTGCATATACATATACGCTAATACATGCCACATGTCACAAGGTACATACCAGGTCCACGACAAACTGAATTGGGATGACTTTGAGAACTCTCAAAAGAGATATCCGATTATCTACATGCGCTGCGACCCCAATACACATGTCACACGGTGCCTGCCTGCCTACCAGGTCCACAACGAACTGTGTGTTGAGGCCGGCTTGCAGCAGCCCTGCACGGTCCGTGAGCTTGATGCCGTCGATCCACTGCCGCAGGGCGAGGGGGTGAGGGGGTGAGTGGGGGAAGGGAGGAGGAGGGGCGCAAGAGAGGTTTGCAACAAGGGAGGTGCGCAGCAAGGTGTGTTGAGGCCGGCTTGCAGCAGGGCTGGACAGTCTGTGAGCTTTATGCCATCGATCCACTGCAGGTGAAGTTGGGGACAGCAAGGGAGGCGCACAGCAAGTGTGATGACAGGAGTCGCGCACAAGGGAGGTTGCAGCAAGGGGAGGGGGGGAGCAACGAGGGAGGTGGAAAAAATGACAAGGAACGGGGTGGATGGTGGTTGGTTGCATGCAAGCAGTAATAACTGTCGGCGAAGGAAACAGCAACGAAAGAGATGGGAGGCGAGAAGGGAAGCAGAGTCAAGTTGCAAACACGTATAACAGCAGACTCAGAAACGCATTCATTAGGATATGCCTAATCTCATAAGACATTCTACTTTACAAAAATCTAAAAACCCCGCACCTTTGCGAAGGTTTTTTTAGAGTTCGCAGAAATCCCTCACCTCACTTGAAGAGGGATCATTTATAATTTTATTAAAACTCTCACCTTTAGGAGCATCCTATTCACGCACCTCCATTGTGAGCACGCGCCGACTGGAGTACTTCCAGAAGATTCTTGGAACCTTCACAAGGCCGCGGCGCATGCCCTGAGAGGCTTGCGATTGCGATTGCCCTGGGATGGGAGGGAGCCAGAGAGGCAAGGCAAGAGCACGAGGAGCGGAACAACAAGTTTAGCCCTTGCAGACAGGCAGCAGGTGAGAGGTCCCTGGATGGCAAGATAAGGTACGGAAAGGCATGGCATGGCATGGCATGGCATGGCATGGCATGGCATGGCATGGCATGGCATGGCAAGTACCCGCAGAGGATGGCATGGTAAGGTAAAGTAGATCAATTACACGGAGGGCGATGCAGCCAAGCCAAACAAAGAGCACGGTGGAGGGCACGGACCTAGGGTTGTCCAGTTCATAGAATCTCAAGTCAACGATAACCCATCTCTCGAGCAATCAGTCTTTGCTACAGGGCAGGACAGGAAGCGCTGCCAAGGGGTACGAACAGAACCCACGCGAAGTTTTGAGATGTCTGAAAACTTCCCTTTCTACGGGGCAGGGCAGGGCAGGACAGGCAGTGCTGCCTTTTGAGAATTCTCAAAAGTCACTCCAATATACGGGGCAGGGCAGGGCAGGGCAGGGCAGGGCAGGGCAGGGCAGGGCAGGGCAGGGCAGGGCAGGGCAGGGCAGGGCAGGGCAGGGCAGGGCAGGGCAGGGCAGGGCAGGGCAGGGCAGGGCAGGGCAGGGCAGGGCAGGGCAGGGCAGGGCAGGGCAGGCAGTGCTGCCAAGGGGTAAGCATAGAACCTTGCTCGACGGGCCGGTGGTCGCCATAGAGCGCTTGGAAGCGCTCTGCATTGCGCCCCTCCTGCTCGTAGTCCACTTCATCGAACATGCGGCACACCTGGGAGGCATGATGTGGGTGGGACACTTGTGAGCTACCACTGTACCACATGACTTGTTATACACAGCCCGACTGCTCCACATTGTACGTGCGTCCCTCCTGCTCGTAGTCCACCTCGTCGAACATGCGGCACACCTGGGGGCGGACAGGGCAATGAGTGTGTGGGACACGTCTAAGCAGGTGGCTGGGATGGTTGTGAGTCTGTTTCTGCGTTGCCTTAAGAATCGCAAACTCTCCTGGCAATCTGCTGTTCTGGTTCGCTTCGATTGAAATGATCGAGTAGTCAGATTAGCTGACTTGGTACTAGACGACTCCTCACTTTCGAGTTGTCTCCAGAGTCAACTCGATTATAGGAATTACCTGACTGGTACCGAGCTATATTGAAATCACTTTTGATTCTTTTCATAATCAACTTGATTGATTGTTCAGATTATCTGACTTGGTATTCCACTCCTCTCTTCACCTCCTCTGCCTTGATTCAGTCAGCTTGTGAGACGCGCGAACGAAATATAATCCGGACCAGACCAGCTCACTGCGTTTGTCCGTATACTCACCAGCTGGTCGGCGATGGCAACGAGATCGGATCTGCCGTGCACGAGAGGCTGCAGCAGCGCTGCCACGCGGCGCACCACGAGGGAGTCCAGGGCGATCTGCTGCTGCACTGCTGGCCGTTGGATCTTCACCGCCACCCACTCGCCGGAGCGCAGGCGGGCTGACGGGCGAGGGTGGAAGGGATTGGGAAAGGAGAGCAGAGAGGAGCAAGAAATGGACCTTCCCTGCTCTGAGGTGCTGCCGTGCTGCCCTGCTGCTGCTGGTCATTGCACCTTCTCTGCCACATGCTCTGCTCAGCTCGGTACTTGCGCTGGCAAGATGGTCGAGTGCGAGGGAGGGCGGGTGGGACGGGATGAGATGGGCAAAGAGTGGAACGATTGAGTTGAGTCACACCTTGTTGTGATGTGAGAAGCTGCAGTGTGATTTCTCACTCTACTCAAGATCCACCTTCGGCTATATTCACACGAGGCTTTCAATTCAATTACAAAAAACGCCACGAGCAAATAGAAAGAGAGAACAACGAAGGTTAAGAGGAAAGGGGGGGGGGGGGGGGGGGGGGGGGGGGGGGTTTGAAGAGGACAGGAGAGGAGAAATGCAGTGCGAGAGAAGAGTGGGAGAGAGAATGAAGAAAGAGGGAGCGATGAAGAGAGAATGGAGGTGCAAGAAGGATGTTATGGGTCCACCTCTCTTACCACCGCCCCCAACCTCTTTCCACCATGTGCGCGTGCAGTGCAGAGCTGTGCAGAATGGAGCTTTGACTCAAAAGTCACCTTGCATGGATGGAGTGGAGCGACTTTTGAGTCGCCTCAAAAGTCACCTCATGGAGCTGAGGTCCCACACCTGCCTCAGCGATGCAGCAACCAAAAGGACCCGGCTGCTTTGCTGCTTTGCTGCTTTGCTGCTAATGCAGCTGTAAGGGGATACATCCCCTTACATCCCCTTACATCCCCTTACATCCCCTTACATCCCCTTACATCCCCTTACATCCCCTTACATCCCCTTACATCCCCTTACATCCCCTTACAGCCCCTTACATCCCCTTACATCCCTTTACATCCCCTTACATCCCCTTACATCCCCTTACATACCCTTACATACCCTTACATCCCCTTACATCTCCTTACCCCTCTCCTACCTTTGCACACCTGCCCGAGCGACGCAGCGGCCATTGGGGCTGGGCTGAAACTCAGCAAAGAGCTTCCTGTAGTTGACAAACTCACATCCCCTGAATTAAAAATCCCAAAACGGACGTGCGGGAGAGTCCCTCACACCCTCTCCTACCTCTGCGAACCCCCTCTCACCCTCTCCTACCTTTGTACACCTGCCCCGAGCGACGCAGCAGCCACGGGGGCCGGGCTGAACTCGGCAAAGAGCTCGCCGGGCGGCACTCCCAGCTCGCGCTGTGTTCTCAATACACACACATACCGGCACACACCCACGTCTACTTCTGTGAATCCCCTTACACCCTTCCTACTTTTGCTACTTTTGTACATAGCCCCTTACATCACCTCACCCTCCTCCTACCTTTGTACACCTGCCCCAGCGATGCAGCAGCCGCCGGGGCCGGGCTGAACTCAGCAAAGAGCTCGCTGGGCGGCACTCCCAGCTCACATGTAGGGCACTGCTTTACACCCCCTTGCACCCCCTCCTACGTTTTGCACAACCCCTCCTCCTTCCTTTGTACACCCGCTCAAGCGATGCAGCAGCTACAGGAGCCGGGCTGACCTCGGCAAAGAGCTCGCCGGGCGGCACTCCCAGCTCACGGTGTGTTTTGATTCGAGTCAAAACACACCCATCACACACCCTCTCCTGCCATTGTACGCCTGCGCACACTTTCTCCTACCTAAGTACACCCCTTCACACCCGTTCCTACCTTTGTACACCTGCCCGAGCGATGCAGCAATCATCGGAGCCGGGCTGAACTCGGCAAAGAGGTCACGGGACGGCACTCCCAGCTCGCACTGTGTTTAGATAGAGTCGACTCAGAACACGCCCTCTTCTACCTCTGTACATCCCCTTACACCCTCTCCTACTTTTGCTACTTTTGTACACAGCCCCTTACAGCCCCTTACACCCCTTCACACCCCCTTCTACCTTTGTACACCTGCCCGAGCGACGCAGCAGCCACAGGGGCCGGGCTGAACTCGGCAAAGAGCTCGCCGGGCGGCACTCCCAGCTCGCGCTGCACTGTAGCAAGCGCCACGTGGCAGGGGAATGGCGCCATGCGGTCCTGCAGCAGCGCCAGCTCAGCGCAGTACTCGGGCGGCAGGATGTCGGGGCGCGTGCTCAGCGCCTGCCCCAGCTGGAGAGAGCGGAAGGGTGAGGTGAGGGGTGGGGGGGGGGTGGGTTGGTGTTTGCCAACTCACAAGTCTATAGTGTTGGGCCTGCCCAGACAAATACTGGGCAGGAGGAATAGCGTTGAGACAAATCATTTTACAGTCTAAGCAGTCATCTCACTTCCAGAATAAATTCAATGACGCTTTCCATTTCTTCTTCTCTCAGTGAGTCTCTCGGTCTGGCGCACATACCTTGACATAGAAAGGGCCGAGGCGAACAAGAGACTCCCTGAACTGACGGGGGGAGGGAGGGGGAAGAGCAGAGAGGCAATGAGCATAGCGGAAGGAGGAGTATAAGGGATGGAGGAGCAGTGTCCATTGCCTTGAATGCACAATGCAGTTTCCACACTCTCTCCTTTCCTTTCAGTCTGCACACTCTCACATGCGAATCTTCCTACGCACCTTCCTAGCGCGCACTTTTACGTCCGCCACAGTCTGTTTCCGCCACCACATGCGCCCCATCTCCGCTATAGTCACACCCGTGCGCCTCGCTACTGTCATTGGCCGCCATCTGTACTCCGCCGCGATCGCCTCAGGATCGTATCTCAACCGTCCGCTCCCTGATGGGGAGTCAGCTGTGTGGCCAGGATTTGTATGTGCGTCCGTCGAGGGAGGTTTTACCTGAGTGGCTTGGCGGGGAGGGGGAGGCGGCACCTGGTGGCGGGGGCTACCTGCGGGTGAGTCGTGATTGGCGCGGGTTCTCGCGGGGAGAGGAGCGGGGAGAGGTGCGCGGAGACGTGTGCGCGTGAGCGTGTGTGGAGCAGCGGGTGTGTGACGTGGAAGCCACGAGGTGTTGAGTGCGTGATGCGGGAGTGTGTGATGTGGGGATGTATTGTGTGGACAGCACACTCTTGCGATGTTGAACGGCGGAAGCAACACGAGGAGGAGCGATGGCGTTTCTGAAGGGAATGGAGATGGGAGGAGCCATGGGCGGAAAGGAATCGCCGGCGCGACGCCGGGCGCGGAGGTTGACGGGGCAGTAAGGGGCGATGGACGCGGCGCGCGAAGTACGTTTGAAACGAGCGGGGTGCTTGAGGGTGACAGTAGCGAATGTGGCAGTGACGGGGGGAACAGGTCAGCGGAGAAAAGAATTGTCTTATATCGGCCTCGTTCTTTGAGTTTCGTAGCCGTGAGCCGGCCAACGGGCCCAACCATGTCCAGCTCTTTCCAAACAAAAATTTCGCGGGATTTCCCTAGCCACTTTAGCGGGGAATCAGCTTAGAGTGCGAAAGGCAACAAAAGGCAACGCAATGGCACCTTGATCGAGGACCCCGCTGGAAAGGCAGTACTCGATGTACGAATGGCGCTAAAAACTGTTACCATAGAGGTGGAAAGGATTGTTGTGTGTGATCGGTTTGTTAGAGCGGTTCAGTACGTTACATCGTGCTAAAGACTGGTTTCAGTACTTGACCCAATGTATATTCTCAACCACAAATCTGCTGTATGATGCGTGGTGTCCAAGTGGTACAAGGTGTGAGCCGTTTAATACCGTGTCGAAGCTCACTGAACCAGTCTGGTCGATGCACACGAAAGATACTCACAGGACGGGACAGCCCCCGAGGGCCAAGATACGAACAAAACCCTTCAAGAATAACCTCGATGTCTAGCGAGTTTGAAGTTCACTCTGTAACGAAGTTCTGACCTTCAAACCATAAAACCTTGGCTTCAGCAATTTGCGGCAGGACTCAAGGGTTACTGACAAAGACGACTCGGTGGAGAAATCATCCAATGGGTGTGCACCACGCGCAACAGTTGTCTTGTTTTAGCCACGCAAATTCAGCTCCACCTTCAACACCCTCCGCCAACCCGACGACGACCACTCCGCAAGCTAACACCGAACGAAACTCCTGCAAACCTCCAAGGCGTGTCGCAAAGTCCACTTCGATGCGGTTTGGTAGGACTTCTGAGGCATAATCCGTGGTTCGATCAAATAGATAACGGTCTAGTACGTCTGATCGAAACTGAACTGTCATGACACGACACCCCCTTGGTTTTTGGTTCATGTGTGGCATGATTTTATCTGACACCACATTCCGGTAATTTCGAGGTGGACACTCCAGCACTGAAAAAGGATGATGGTGGCATGTCGATTTCCCGCCAAAAAGTACTCTTGTGCCTCCACACGACCTTTCTCCAGACCACCAACAAAAAAACCCAATCCATCACAAGTGTGTTGAGGTGAAGGACTACACACTTGGATTAGTTGGTTAGCTAGCTCTTTTGGCAGCTATTGCTCGAGCCACCACATTCGAAGTCTCATGTTGCTGCCTTGCTTTCGAGTCCTTGCTCCTACCATTGAGCTTCATTGGAGCTCACTCGCGTAGACGGATTTACGCACGAACCCGCGTAGCCACGACTGCAGCGATCAGGTGAATGGTAACGCAGCAACGTTCACAGTGTACATAACACAATCGTTCTTAATCTCATAACCCCTCCACCTCGCTGCTCAAGTGTTCACCGGCGTGTGAGTCGGCACCAAAGCGCGATGGCTCTTCGCGCAGCGAGTCTCAACGCGACGTCGAGCCTCATTCTCGACGTGCGGGAAACACGGAGCTCTCGTCACGATGCGCAGTCTATCCTCTGCAGATCGTCGCCATCTCGCAGATCCGAATCTTGCAGATCCAAATCTCGACCGTTCATCGTGAATGCCGCCATACCCCGTAGATCTGATACAAGAACCGTCGTTGCAGCAGTAGCAGCAGCTAGGGTTTTTTGCTCCTCAAAACCTTCTTCCTCCAACTCGAAACGTAGAGGGCCGCGTGTGCCGCCGTCAGCGACAGCCTCTTCGCATCACACGGGAATGCCGGCCAGCAAGGCGCCGTCGAAGCGATCTCCCCCGCTTCACGACTCGCTTGCCACGTGTCAAGCGGTCAGCAGTGCGAGACCCGCTCACGAAGAGAAGGAGGAAAGGGACGCGGTGTCGGCTAACGGCCGGCCCCCAGCCGGTCAGCCGGTTAACGTCCGGCAGCCTGACGGCGCGTCGGTGGAGCCGGCGAACGGGACGAGCAACGGCACGGCCTCAGCGAATGGTGCAGCGACGAGCGGATGGAGTGGAGAGGAGCTGATTGGCTACGAAGGGAAAGGCATGCAGCAGAGACTTCGCGTGGCGGTCGACGTTGATGAAGGTACGGAGCGGTGCAGAGTGATAATGGAGGGTTTGCAAGGGTGTACAATGGTCAGGGCTGGCGTTGGTGCTTTGCGGTTAGTGAGTCGCCTGAAGGTATAAGGGAGGTGCAGAGATGTTCCTTACGGTACTGAGGGTGAAGAAGACGTGGCACTAGGACAGTCTAAGATTCGTATAGCGCAGAAACTCAGGGTGTAGTCGCTACGCTGTTGACCTTCCCCCGATCCTGACAATAGCTGCACGCATTGATTCAAACCGCTCTTCCAACACCCTCCTTCCCCCCCCCCCCTCCCCACCCCTCTCCCCCCTCCTTCCTCCTCGCCTTTCCACACCAACATCACACTTCTTTTCTCCCTCGTCTCGCTCTCCAGTGCTGGGAAGCTTCCTGTCGACGCTGAACCTCTTTTGCGCTGAGAAGTACTCCGTACGACACGAGCTACACGAGTTTTACGTCTACGACTTCATGAAGGTTGGTAACCCGTCGACCCGTTTCGCGATTTCGTGGATGCAAGCGAGCGAGTGGTGTTTACCCCCGTCGCAGCGGGGAGAGAGGGAGAAATGCGAGGAGAGGAGGAGAGCGGGAGAATGGAGAGGGTAAGAGAGAGAGATGGACAGGACGGAGACTGGGGACAGGGGACAGGGGATCGGGGTTAGTCTGAAACCTGCCCGATCCGGGTGTTTACTCACTCACTCAAACACACAAACACACATATACTCGTTGCAAACACTCTCATATTCTTCCACTTTCCATACGCGCACACACACATACTCGACTTCCTCCCCCCCTCTTCCCCCTCTACCCCCCGGCCCCAACCCGCCCCCTATACACCCCGTGCCTCTTCCCGTCCGCCCAAACCCCCATGGCACTGCAAATGCGACTGCGTGGTGCGGTGCGGTGCGGTGCGGTGCAGGTGTGGAAGTGCTCGCAGGAAGAAGGTGAGCGTCCCGCTTGAGGTCTCTCTCTTTCTTCCTCGTTCTCCCGCCATTGTGGCTACTTCCTTTTGTCCATCTCTATGCCTTTGTCCCTGGCATGCGCACATGGGGAAGGACCAGCCACGTAGGGAAGGAACAGCCACGTGGGGAAGGACCAGCCACGTGGGGAAGGACCAGCCACGTGGGGAAGGAACAGCCACGTGGGGAAGGAAGAATCACACCACTCCAATGATGGCATTTTAATAATCGAGTCATGAAACGTCTCAAGTATATACAGTTATGAGTTTCGAAGCATCTCAACTTGCTCCATCGAGCCCCCTCTTTCCCATCCTCTTCCTCCTCCTCCTCCTCCTCCTCCTCCTCCTCCTCCTCCTCCTCCTCCTCCTCCTCCTCCTCCTCCTCCTCCTCCTCCTCCTCCTCCTCCTCCTCCTCTTCCTCCTCCTCCTCCTCCTCCTCCTTTGCGTCCTCCGCCGCCTCCTCCCTGCCAGCGAACCACCTTGTATTTGACTTGTCCAAGTCGGACCACTTGAACGACGGAATCCCCAGAATCGAGTTCTGAGCTTCGAGCCATCTTAAGGCTCCCTCCCCCCAACCACCCCGCCTTCCCCCTCCCCCCCATTCTTCCGCCTCCCTTCACAGCCAACCACCGTGTGCACGACTTTTTCAAGTCGGCACATTTCAACGACGGCATCCCCATCATTCCCGGTGCCTTTGACACACTGCGCCGCCTCTCCCACTTCACCGACCTCGTTGTTGTCACGTACGCTCGCTTGCTCCCTGCTCCCTGCTCCCTGCTCCTCTCTCTCTCTCTCTCTCTCTCTCTCTCTCTCTCTCTCTCTCTCTCTCTCTCTCTCTCTCTCTCTCTCTCTCTGCCCCTTGCCTTGCTGCGCTGCCTCTCCCACTTCACCGACCTCGTTGTCGTCACGTATGCTCCCTTGCCCTCTCGCCCTCACCCCGCTTGCTCTCTTGCCCTCTCGTTGCCCCGTACGCTTGCTGCTCTCTTCCCACTTGTCTCACTGCACTGCCCTCGTTGTTGTCACATTGCATGTGTGTGCATGCAGGTCGCGGCAGCATGTGATTCGCGAGCCCACATTGGAGTGGTTGGACAACCACTTCCCCGGGGTCTTCTCCTCAGTGCACTTCGGCAATCACTTCGCACTCGAAGGCACACCCCGACCCAAGTCCGAGATGTGCCGGTGCGTGCCTGTAGCCTTGTATTGAATGTACCAAAGAGTGTGCAGACCCCTTCTTTGCTCCACCTCCTATCCTCACCCCCACCCCCTCTTTTTCCAATTTCCCACTGAGGAGCTGGGCGCGGAGGTGCTGATAGACGACAATCCACCGTACGCCATGGAATGTGCAGAGAAAACTTCTTTTCCATTGTATGTTCTGCTGCTAACCCTCATCATGCGCCCACGCCCTTACTGCCCTCCCTCAGCGAGGTCGGGATTGAGGTGCTGATAGACGACAATCCGCAGTATGCCATGGAGTGCGCCATGTGCTCACCCCTCCCATGTCATCCCCTCCTTATCCGTTCCTTTCCTCTTTCTGTCCTCATCCCGCACTCAACCTTTCCCACCCACCAGGGAGCTGGGTGCGGAGGTGCTGATAGACGACAACCCGCGGTACGCCCTGGAGTGTGCGGAGCACGTCATCCAGGTGCTGCTCTTACTATTCACAAACCCAACCCCCCCATTCCCCCTTCCCCCCTCCTTCCCCCCACTCTACAGGGAGCTGGGTGCGGAGGTGCTGATAGATGACAACCCGCGGTACGCCATGGAGTGTGCGGAGCATGGCATCCAGGTGCTGCTCTTTGATTGGCTGCTGCAGTACCCCTGGAGCAAGACGGCGGGCGGCGGGCCGCACCACGAGCTGATCGAGAGGGTGCGGGATTGGGGCGAGGTGGAGGTGGCTGTCAGGCGCATGGCGGTTGATAGGGCCATGCCGTGGATTAAGGAGGAGAGGAAGAATGCACACAGATAACATGGGTTGGGCAGAGTGGGTGGAAATGGGAGAGGAGGCAGGCAGGGGTGCGCCAAATGGGAGATGAACCAGTGAAAGGGTAAGGAAAGGGGGAGGGGGGATGGCGGTGTGGCGCATGGTGGTTGGTGGATAGCCATGCTGTGGATCTCAGTGGGGCAGTCGAATGCGCACGTATGATATAGGTTTAGCTTGAGGAAAAGGGGTTTCGGGGGGTTGCTCACTTGCAGGTAGTAGTGGCGTCGTGCCTTGAGACGCGCAATTTTGGCTTCGCAAACCGCGATGGGCTGAGCTGACACTGTGAACTGTCAAGGAAAACGAGTTGCAGTGTTTGGAGCTGCAACGGGGGTCTCTACGGTATTTGATGGGGAGTAGCATTGGATGCAGGTGCTTGAAAGTTCCGTGTCAATTGGACCATGCATGTTGTTGACCTTGCAACACGTAAGGTAACTACTGTCTGATGGGAAATCCATCATTATATGGCCCCATGTATTGATTTCGTAATGGATTCTGGAGCTCCAACACTTGGGCACGACCGCTAATTAATTTGAGCAGATACAGTCATTTGTGCAGGTGTCCAAGTGTGCGCTGTGTTACAGGTCTCTAACCTCAGCTGTCGGCAATCCCGCTTTCGCCACACTTGCCCAGCAGATCAGCACTGATTTTCATTTCCAAGTTCGCCGTGGATTCTTCTTGCTTCTGATCGGTATGCAGCGGTTGGGTGCCACACAGCTGGAATTTTTTGTCAGGTGCCGAGCTGACATCGTTGGTGTTCGCAAAGTGGACAGCTCAGGGAATGTCAGATGTTTCATTTGTGCCGAGGTAACACGCGGTCAAGAACGCTGTAATAAGAATCTAAAACGGTTCACCGAAAAATTAGCTGCCGATTGAACTGAGTGACTTGCCTCTCACGCAGCCACGTTCCCGCTTAGTTTCAGTCAGTCTCACCTTCTGACCAACTGCATTCACTCCCCAGACTTGATTCCCGACCCAACCCGACTCCGTGACTCCCATCTGTTGACTGACGAAAGAGTAAACGCACGGTCGACGTTCGAGATTACAAGTAGGGTCCTCTAACAATCTCTAGTGGCGTCGTGATGACCACGCCCTTTCGTCAGTCCGCGGCGCGGGAAATTGTGAGCTTGCTGCGGCAGCGGGAAACACGGGAGGTCGAGGATAGAAGCGTCGATAGATCTCCGTCGTCCATTCGGCACCTGCTTTTGCCCGAACCGTCCGATTCGTTGCGCGATTACTCGAGGGAGGTGGAAGGGGAACCGTCTCAAGAAATCGACACGCGAGAGAGCACAGATGGATACCCGAGGACGCGGGAGAAGGAGAAGGATAGTAGGGAGGCGAGGGAAATGGAGACGGAGAGAGAGCATTTGGCGGTTGTGATCGATGAGGAAACTCCCCTAGTCGCTCCCCTCATTAGCGGGGATGCGACGGGACTCGGCACCGGGAGCGACGGAGGATACGGAAGAGTCGGAGGAGCCAGAGGAGCAGCGAGGCTAGGAGGAATGCAGGAAATATTCATGGATAGAGGTGGAAAGGCGCGAGACGGGTTGAGCGGTCCAGATGTGATGTCCGGGAAGAGTGCTGGCATGTCAGAGAATGGGGGGATGAGGAATGAAGAGGAGCCAGAAGACGAGGACCAACCGCAGTGCCGAATTTGCCTGGAGACCGATGGTGCGTAGCAACTTATCCCCGCTATACGTCTCCGCGCCTCTTCTTTTGAGGCGCCTCAATATCAGACTATGCCTGGAGGGCGATTTTGGGCAGAATCAAAATCAGGATTTGCCTGGAGAGCAACGGTGCGTAGCAACTCATCCCTGCAACGCCTCCGCGTTTCTTCACTCTCAGACTCTCCTGTGATGACACGTATGTGTTTGAGGCATGTATGTATTTCAGGCATATATGAGTTTCAGGCATGTATGCGTTTCAGGCATGTATGTGTTTCAGGCACGTATGCGTTTCAGGCATGTATGTGTTTCAGGCATGCATGTGTTTCAAGCACGCATGTGCTTCAGGAATGCATTGAGATTCAGGCATGCATGTGCTTCAGGCATGCATGACATTCTCTGATACATACATACTGCTCACCTCCCTCCCAGCGGGTCAGGACTCCGTCACCCCTGCAACTGGTTCAAGGCTCCTTTGGAAACATGCTTCGAGGCATTTAAGAAGTCAATAACGCGTACCCATGCCCATTGCGTCCTCATCCCCCACGGAGCAGGTCGGGACCTCATCGCCCCATGCAGGTGCAAGGGCTCGGCGCGATTTGTCCACCGGCACTGCCTGGACCAATGGCGGGCCACCAAGGAGGGGTTCGCCTTCTGCCACTGCTCCACGTGCAAGGCTCGCTTCCAGCTACGCGTGTGCCTGCCGCCCGACCTCAGATGCCGCCATCTCAAGTTCAGATTCTTTGTCGCGAGGGATATTGTGCTCATAACGCTGCTGGTGCAGATGGTAAGTTTTGCCCCTGCCTCTGCACCTCTTCCAAGGCGCCTCAAGGGGCACCTCTTGCACCACCTCTTGGCCAGCCCATGCTAAGATGACGTGTTTGCACATTTTCTCCGTCCCGTCTTTCTCCCTTCACTGTTCATTCTCTCACATGCAACTCCTTGCACCGCCTTCAGCCGTTTCTGCCCTTCTCCTCGCCTCCGTTTCCTTCGAAATCACCAGCTGATAATCTGCTTTGGCTACACTGCCTACGTGGCGGATTACTATTGGTTCGACATGGGGTTTCAGAAAACATGGGACAGGCAAAGCCCAGCAGCGTTCTACTACATCTGTGGTGAGACAGGCTGTGGTGTGTGCGAACAGGCATGTGCAGTGTTTGGGTGTCGCTTTTGTGAACAAAGCGCAGCAACATTGTACTACATCTGTGGTGAGAGAGGTTTGTGGTGCGTGTAGACAGGCATGTGCAGTGCTTGTGTGGCGCTTTGTGAGCAAAGCGCACTAACATTCTAATACATCTATGGTGAGAGAGGCAGTGGTGCCCACCTCCTGCCGCAACCCTCCCCACACCAACCCCCACCCCCCCCTCTGCCCTCCGTCATCCTCTCTACTTTCTCATTCATCGCCTTCGTCACTCGCGCTGCAAGTGCATGTTAAGTTTTACCACTTGACCGCCTCCCAACGCGCTACGACATTGTTCATGCCGTGTCCCAACCAGGAGTGCTGCTATTCCTCGTATCTGCTGGTCTGCTCGGTGCCGTCATGACGTGTGTTGATCGCCGCTTTCGCAGCGACCTTGCAGCTCCCTGCAGGGACCTGGGCGCCTGCTGCTGCAACCCCCTGTGAGTGGTTCGCCTCAGCTCCCCAAGAGAGATTTCTAGCTTCTCCCTGCAAGGGCCTAGGCGCGTGCTGCTGTGACCCGCTGTGAGTGCACTTTCTGGAGGGCCAAGGGATGGATCGGCTTCCTGCCTGTAGAGACTTAGCTGCTCCCTGCAGAGACCTGGGGGCCTACTGCTGCGACCGCCTGTGAGTGGTTTGTTTTGGCCTCCCTGCAGAGACCTAGCAGTTCCCTGCAGAGACCTAGTTGCCTTCTGCAGAGACCTGGGCGAGTGCTGTGCAGTGAGTGCCCCTCTGCGTTTCAAAGGCCTGCTGCGACCCACATGCGTGCAAACGGTATCTCAACCCACTCTTTACATCCCCCTTTATATAATGTACGACATCCCCTTCCCCCCCATCTCAGTGTGTGTGGCAGCTGTGACTGCCACGTGGCACCCATCTGTCTCTACTCAGACTGCTCCGGCTGCTCTTTCTGCTTCTCCGGCTGTAGTGACTGCGCCGCTGCCATAGGAGGATGCACAGGGGAGGCGGGGCTTCTTATCCTGCTGACACTTGGCGCGATCCTATTGGTCGTGTTGGCACTGGTGGGGGTGTTTTACTGCTTGCTGGTCTCGACCCTGGTGGTGCAGCGGATATGGCAGCGACATTATCACGTCCTTGCAAAAAGGATCCTCACTAAGGTATTTGCTCACTCTCATGCTGAAAATCAAATAGTTGTTATTCAGCTGTGCCGGCTCTATAGTTCTGGGGCCCTTGCAACTTCCACTTGTACTTGCCTAGTTAACCGTTGCGTTTGTTTCTTTTTGCCTTTTTTTTCTTTCAAAGAGCTTATCTTCATGATCGCGGCCCATGTTTCAGCTCGTCTCTCACAACTTCATAGTTCATTAGTTTGTGCTTCATAGTTCAAGCTGTTTTTTTTATACGTGAAAAAAACGTAATGCGCTTCTCCATGTCTGCTGCCTCTTCGTCTCTGCCTCTTGCCCGTCCATCTCCATTCCCTCTATTGTTTTTTTACAATTTTAGCGTGTAGTGCATGGTATGTCTGGGATGCGCTCATTTACTATAAAAAACATTGCGGCCCCTATGTTTCCTCCTTGTCCTCTGCCCTTCCCTCCATGCCCTACCCAGGAATTTATTGTGGAGGATTTGTCTGGAATGTCTCTCCCTCCTGAGTGGTCGCCACCGCCACTGCTGCCCGAACACGAAAAGCAGTTGAGGGATTTGAGGCTTCTCTGACTGTGCACGAACCAGGCGTGGGAGGCAGATCTCACTGTGCATCAGCTTGTGCTACTGATGCCCCAGCGATGGTTTAGTTGTAAATATGTCAGGGCAGGTTCTTTGCGTGATGTTTTACCATTTTCAAGATCCACCCTAATTCACAGTGCACGTCGAAGTGGAACTTCGCGAACAGATAGTAACGAGGATAGCCTCCAGGATCATCCCCTCAACCTATTCCACCCATCCCAACCCAACCAAGCAGCCCGCACGATAACTCTTTCCGCCATAATCTCTGGAACTGCGAGTACACATCCCAAGGCACTCGGTTCCGATTGAGCAGACCTGTCGATTGGGCTGGGAGCTCTCATCTCCATCCATTACACCATGGAGAGCCATGGCGACGGCGATGATGTGAAGACGGCACGTCCCAGCACCGCCACAGATAACGCAGAACAATCACGCTGCGATGAAAGTCCGGCCGCGCATAACTCCGTACAGTCACAACCGCAAATCGCGTTGTCGTCGTCACGAAATGTAGAAGCGCCGACTTGCTTGACAGAGGCACCACTAGCTCCGCAGGACCGCGAGCCAGGCGTAGATGCAACGACTCCGTTGCCAGTCGTAGAAGTACCAGCGACTTCCGTGCCAGACGCGCCATTCGGATTGGGTGCCGGCTCGACGATACACTCTCTCGCATTCGACGAGCTGTACCCGCCTCAGGTGCTCTCTGTGCGATCCCCGCTTCGCTACCACGAGCGAGGCTTCTCGCGATACTTCCTGCGCGGTGCGTGGGAGCGACTTGTGCCTGCCATTCGAGTCAACAATTCCTTCTTCTCCCAGCAAATATGCTAGTATCGCTGTCTTATTCTCCTTGGCGCTATAGCTTCTAAGCACAACTCTCTTTTGAAACCGTTGTGCACCCATTGTTTCGTGCATCCACCGTTTCTGGTGTCGCAGACGTGGGAGGCATAAAGGGCAACGATCAATACATATACCGACATGCCAATGGGTAGGTGTACACTGCTAGTGTAATAAAACCGATTCCCTCGGCATTAAGTTACACCAATTCTGCGCTTTCCAAAAGGCTGACCCTTGACTATCGAATTCCTCATAAACAAACCCCTCAATTTGGACCAGGGATGTTGTGCTCAGTGCAATGTAGGCTCTTATACCCTCTTTCCCTTCTTGTCAGATTTAAAATGCATGCCATGAGACCCTCTTCCCGTTCTTCCCCCCTGCACCCCTCGCCCCCGTCGCCCCCGTCGCCCCATTGGTCTCCTCGTCCCCCTCCGGCAGACTCATTGTGGTGGGCCTTGCTCCCTCGCACGCAGCACTGGCAGCAGATCGAGTGATCTCAGCCGTTGATTTCCACGTGGGCAAGAGGAGCCGCCTGGAGATGGAGGCCACTGGCAAGAACAAACAGGTGCGAGCGAGGGTTGAGGGGGTTGGGTTTAGAGGGTTCAAGGCTGAAAACAGTTGTGAATCTCAACTTGAAGGTTTCGGCTTTTAGGGGTTCAAGTTTCCGGATAGTTAATTTGAAATGAGAGTTGTGGGTTTCGGGCGTAGAGCTGAGGAATAAGGGTTCAGGAGTTGAAGGGTGGAGAGCTGTGAACCGGCAGGTGTGGGATGGATGACTTCAAGTGAAACACAACACACTACTGTCAGTCACAGGGTGAACTCTGGTTGAGGAATATCACTGTGGTCCCTTCCTCTGTGATTGCTTCTGACAAAAGAGAGTTCTTGAGACGTCTCAAAAACTCTCTTTTATCATCTGGGTGGGGAGAATGTCCGTGATCCGTTCCTATGTGATTGCTTCTGCCCTTCCTGTCTTACTCATTTCTTTGCTTCATCCTCTACTGCTTGTGTCTATACTCGCCATCCCATCCAATCAGAGGGCAACACCTTTGGATGCCAACTCAGCTCTCTGCAAGATCGTAATGGTGACACCACCTCCTGATACAGTCACAGCAACTGATACAGGCACAATCTCTGGTGGTGATGCCAACGCTGCCACCACAGTTCCCAATGTGACGGAATCGAACCCGACCGCAGTGTCTTGTACGACAAATGCAGCTCCTGGCAGCAGTGCTGCAGGCAGTGGCAGCACTATCAGTGTGTCAGAAAGAGCGGCAGCTATGCCCACTGCAACTGATACAGTCACAGCCACTGATTCAGTCCCGACTGGTAATACAGCCACAACTGGTAATGCAGTCACAGCTGCTGATACACTTACAGGTTGCAGTGGTGCACCCGCAGATGGCAGTGAGTTATTGAATACCAATGGGAGGAGCAGAGATAATGAGCAAAAGCAGCTGACGATAGGGGGGAATCGAGAGGCGCGACTGCAGAAAGTACCCGAGGGAGGGAGTGGTGCTGGTTTTGAATCAAGACACGAAAATGATGAAGCAAGAAGAAAAGGGCCGGGATTGCAAAATGGTCGAGGAGAAATGAATGGGCAGGGATATGCGTTTTACGTTGCAAGGTCGGTCCACTAGTCTTGTGAAATGAAAAGGAGCTACGTGCAATGTGTTTCTGCTTCCTCATGAGTGTGGCTTATCTCGTCCGCCCCTCTTCCCATTCTCTCATTGTACCCGCTTCCCTCAATCTTTCTTCATCCCGGGAGTGACAATGTGGAACGTCTCGTCGTCTCCTGTTCAGGTGTTGCGTCAAGGGTCGGCTGATTGAGGTCAATCGACAGCTGGCCACCAACCCGATTCTGCTCAGAGACAAGGTAAGGTCAATCCACCAGAGTTGTCGGCAGAATCAGTCATGTTGTCTCTTAACATATGTCAAGGAACATAATTAAAAGGACAGGATTGTGTATATTATACTGTTTTATCGATTATTATTTCCATAGTTTATATACTTTCTGACTTTCCATCAGTTCCATTCTTCTTCTCATTTTGCTTTCTGCAGGCAGCATCCGAGGGGTACATTGCAGTGCTGCTGCCGCATCCTGCCGAATGGGCAGCAGCACAACCAAGGCTCTTGACAGAAGAGCAATATGAAAGTGCTGATATATGAGAGTAGCATGAAATTGCTGCGAATGTCCGTGGTACAGTTCAGAAGTCTTGCCTCCCCCCATCAGAGCGCACATCAGCAGCAGCAGCCTTTGCAGAATGAGGACAGGCGGTGGATGGATGGTTACCGTGTGCACTTTAAGTTTACTTTTGAGTCGACTCAAAAGTCACCTCACATCAGCAGCAGCAGCCTTTGCAGAATGAGGATAGCCAGTGGATGGATGGTTGCTGTATGTGCTTTGGGTTTTGGTGGCTAGTTTATGATGGTAGCACGGAATGGGTTGTTTTCCAGCTTGTGCAATTGACCTTAATATAGACGATTCGCTGTCAGAACAACACCCAGAATTCTTACATATTGTGCCTTGTTGTACATTATGGTCTGCAAAACCGAGCATTCAAAATAATACCTCCAGGGTTTAACCCTCCACTGTTACTGGAATACTACTTCCAATCTTGTGTACCATACGCGTAACATTATCTTTGCCTTTCGCGAAGCAGAAACGCCCAGGTCGCAGAGCCGTCTCTGAAACAGGGCTGACGATTCAAGGGCAAATGCCCTTAATGCCCTGAACATTAAGGGCTGGGCTCGGCCCAGCTTCCGAAGTTTAAGGGTTGAATTTGAGGGCAGCCTGTCCCCGTTAAGTGCTGGTTGTGGGCCTAGCCCGGATTTCAAGTGCAGATCCTGCGGCTAGCCCTTATCGTCCCATACTAATACCTCCCTCCCTTCCATTCCCTCACCAGTCCACTTGCCTCCTCCCAGCCATTCCCCTACTTTTCCCATCCCTGTCAAATCCATCGACATGTTTCGTACCTCAGCCTATTGCTTAGCTAGCTCTTAGTAGTTTGCCTAAGATAACGGACCCGAAGAGATGTGGGGTTTCCTTAGCGAAAGTGCAAAAAAGTTGGTAGCCCTGATTTCAAGTGCCAGGTTTGCTCTCAGCCCGTAAATTTCAGGGCAACTTTTGGGGCACCTCAGCCTCTCAAGTTCTGGCTCCAAACCAATCGATAGCCCTGCTCTGAAAGCCTCTCCTGCTGCTGCTCTGCTCTCCTATGTCTTCCCCCTGACGGCAGTAGCTTGGTCAGTTCTGGGAGCAACAAACTTGACTGACGGCAGTTCAGGCATGAGACGACCAGTTGTGGACCATAGAATTTGCCGATAACTCGGTCCGATGGCGTCTTGGAGAACGAAACGATGAGAAAACTTTCTTGAAGACGTGGTATTGGCGACAGACACAATGGCTTCGCCAGCCGCGAATATGACAATGTCGAACGCGACAGTAACGGAGGTGGCTATGGCGGAGATGCTAGCGCAGCTGGCGGCGGTTGAGGCGGAGTGGGTGAGCGTAGCGGAGCGCGCGAAGGGCATCGTGCATCTGACGACGGGCATATGGCGGATGATGGCCGCCTTTATCGTGCTCTTCATGCAGGTGATTAGCAGCGTCGCAGATCGTCGCAGGGTGTCGCATGCACCCTGGCGACAATGATAGCGAACGTCGCCAAGCTGGAACGAAGCTGGCTGTAGCTGACTGTCAATCAGCTTGGCTGTAGCTGCCTGTTAAGCAGCCCGGCTGTAGCCGACTGTACTTTATTCCATGCTGGTGAGGTTATAGCGGAACGGTGGCAGAGAGCAGCACAGGCGGTTGTAGCAGAGATGCCGCAGAGAGCAGCAGCGGATGTAGCAGGGAAGTAACCTATTCCAGGCCACGTGCTCTGCTTACAGCAACAGTGCTGTATCCGGTCCATTCATCATCCCATTCTCTCACTCATGAGTGGATGATTTGTTTAGCATTCTTGAAAATACCCCTCCCTTCCTCGTGTGTGTGTGCTCACCATGCACCCACGCGCTCACCATGCACCCACGCGCTCACCATGCACCCACCCACTGCCATACCTGCTCGTCGCACTTTTTTCAACCTCGCAGCTGTGTTGCTTGCTGATCGAGGGGGCACATTGCTTGCTCTGTTTACATTGAAATGCGCTTATCCCATGTACCCACTCGAACACTGCGCACACACTCTCTCACTGCACAGCTCGGCTTTTCTTTAATAGAGGCGGGCACCATTCATTACAAGGACACGCCCAACGCAGCATCATCATGATGATTAAGAACGTGTTGGACATGTGTGCTAGCGCCACCCGCGTGTGATAAGTCGATTTCTGAGTCGACAAAAATCATGATAAAGAACGTGTTGGACATGTGTGTCGGCAGTGCCATCGCCCGTATCCCTTCCACCTCCTCTTTCCACCTCCTCTTTCCACCTCCTCTTTCCACCTCCTCGTTCCACCTCCTCGTTCCACCACCTCGTTCCACCACCTCGTTCCACCACCTCGTTCCACCACCTCGTTCCACCACCTCGTTCCACCACCCATCCCACCCTCCCAGCTCGGCTTCTCTCTAATAGAGGCGGGGACCGTTCGTTACAAGAACACGCGCAACATAATGATCAAGAACGTGCTGGACATGTGTGTCAGCGCCATTGCCTTCTGGCTCATCGGCTTTGCCATTGGCTTTGGGAGTGGCTCTGATTTCATCGGCTGGCAAACACCCTCCGGCACGGTAAGACCCTCAGGCTCGGTAAGAATCTCCGGCTCGGAGGCCCTCAGGCATGGTAAGTCCCTCAGGCTTGGTAGGGCGCTCGCTTAGGCTTGGTAAGGCACTCAGGCCCAAAGGCACTCAGGCCCAAAGGCACTCAGGCCCAAAGGCACTCAGGCCCAAAGGCACTCAGGCCCAAAGGCACTCAGGCCCAAAGGCACTCAGGCCCAAAGGCAGTCAGGCCCAAAGGCACTCAGGCCCAAAGGCAGTGAGGCCCAAAGGCAGTGAGGCCCAAAGGCAGTGAGGCCCAAAGGCAGTGAGGCCCAAAGGCAGTGAGGCCCAAAGGCAGTGAGGCCCAAAGGCAGTGAGGCCCAAAGGCAGTGGGGCCCAAAGGCAGTGAGGCCCAAAGGCAATGAGGCCCAAAGGCAGTGAGGCCCAAAGGCAGTGAGGCCCAAAGGCAGTGAGGCCCAAAGGCAGTGAGGCCCAAAGGCAGTGAGGCCCAAAGGCAGTGAGGCCCAAAGGCAGTGAGGCCCAAAGGCAGTGAGGCCCAAAGGCAGTGAGGCCCAAAGGCAGTGAGGCCCAAAGGCAGTGAGGCCCAAAGGCAGTGAGGCCCAAAGGCAGTGAGGCCCAAAGGCAGTGAGGCCCAAAGGCAGTGAGGCGTGGTAATGTTGATCTATGCGGGCTCCCATTCTGCGTTTCACTCTTCCCCCCATGCTGTCTTCCTACCTAGCTGCCACACTCTCCCGATGATGCCTTTCTCCCATCATGCTGTTCCCATGTAATGCCACGTGCGCCACACACCATGCGCCATGTGCCGTGCCACTTGCGATTGCCCATGCCTCATGCCCCATGCCCCACGGCCCATGCTCCATGCCCCATGTGTCAAACCGTGATTTCTTTAGTTTGTATTGTTTACTCTAGGTGGTGTACAATTCTGTTAGGCTTAGGGTTAGGTCTGCTATATCTTTGCTGTATTCTCTCATTCTAGTCATTCATTCTCTCGTTCAGTTGTTAACACCATGCCCTCCATGTCTCGCCTCGCAACAGGTGTCGATGGCAGTGGTGCCCCATGAGAGCGGGGCGCTATTCTTCTTCAACTTTGTCTTCTGTGCCACCAGCGCCACCATCTTTGCTGGTGCTGTGGCCGAGAGGACTCAGATCACCGCCTACCTCTTCTTCAAGTGTGTAACCACCTTCCTTCTTTATCAGTCGACTCAAAACTGACTTGTGAGCAGAATCTTGAGTCGGCTAAAAAACCATCTTCGCTGGATCCGAGGCCGAGAGGACTCAGCAAGTAACCACCTCGCTTCTAGCCTTGCCTTTTCTGCAAATGACGGTTATTGCTTGTCTCTCTCTCTCTCTCTCTCTCTCTCTCTCTCTCTCTCTCTCTCTCTCTCTCTCTCTCTCTCTCTCTCTCTCTCTCTCTCTCTCTCTCAAATGGTCCGTTGTATTAATTCAGCAGGGGTACAGATATGCAGTTCTATCCATGATAACCTCGATCCCATAAGCCCATCAACTCACCCCTCATCCCCCCCCCTCCCCTGAGTGACCCTCTAGCCCTCCAGCGTGTGGAGGATGTCCCCCAGGTGCAGCGGCCAGGGGTCCGCTGCCATCTGGGGGTGCGCTGCCTCAATCCCAGCCCTGGCCTTGGTGTGCAGGGCGTTCGCCTGGGAGCGCTGGAGGGCCACTGACCAGCGCTGGCTGAAGTGGCAGGCCATCTTCTTGGCGGATTTCGCCAAGGGGCTGGCCCTGAAGCGGTTCCTAGCTGCTGCTGTGGCCAGCAGTTTCCTCTCTCTCTCTCTCTTTCTCTCTCTCTCTCTCTCTCTCTCTCTCTCTCTCTCTCACACACACACACACACACACACACACACACACACACACGTACGCACGCACGCACGTACGCACGCACGCACGTACGCACGCACGCACACACACGCACGTCTCATGCGCTCTCCTCTTCATACGCATGTCTCACAATTTGCTCCCCACGCCTCCCGCCCAGCTTCTTCCTAGCAGCCATAATCTACCCGGTCATCGCGCATGTCATCTGGTCGCACCATGGGCTGCTCTCAGTGGCACCTGTGCTGCTTTGCTTGCTCCCCATTGTCAACCCCCCACCTCGCCTCCCTCCGCCCAGCTTCTTCCTAGCAGCCATCATCTACCCGGTCATCGCACACGTGATATGGTCGCACCACGGGCTGCTGTCAGCTGATGCGGGGGACTACGTGCTGGGCACCCGCGGTGTGCTCGACAATGCCGGCTCCATGGTCGTTCATGTCACTGGTGGGTGGGTGGTGGATGGTCACAGGTGGGCATGGCACAGGTGGGTCGTCGTGGATGGGCATGGTGGGCGTGGCATGGGCTGCTGTCAGCTGATGCGGGGGACTACGTGTTGGGCACGCGCGGCGTGCTCGACAATGCTGGTTCCATGGTCGTTCATGTCACTAGTGGGTGGGTGGTGGATGGCATGGCACAGATGGGTGGTGGGTGGGGCATGGCACAGATGGGCACAGGTGGGCATGGCACAGATGGGCATGGCACAGATGGGCATGGCACAGATGGGCATGGCACAGGTGATCTCAAGTGCTTTCTTTGTAATATGTGCTCTTTGCTCCTTCCTGTATAGTGAGCAGCTGGTAACCTGGTTTCGTTTGTAATACCATCGAACATGCCCTTGACAGGTGGCGTCACCTCATTGGTTGCTGCGTGGATGGTCGGCCCACGGATAGGAAGATTCGATATTGATGGCCGCGTTGTACCCTTTAGAGGGCACTCCCTGGTAAGATACTATCGCAATGTGATGGTCTGTAGTTTCAGCCTCATGGTCATTACTAGACCATCTCTAGTCTCTACATGGGCATTGGTTAGACTGCTCACTCACCACTACAAAACCGTCCAACCTCTTTTCATCCTCCTCGTCCTCCCTCTTCCTCCTCCCGCCGCTCTCCCCCTTCTCTCACCCTCCCACCCCTCTCCCCCCCGCCCTTCTCCCCTCTCATGACAGGGGGCACCATCATCCTCTGGCTGTGCTGCTGCTGCATGTGGGGGGTCAGGGACAGCACTGCACTACCGTCCACCCTCCACTCAGTCTCCCTTTTCCCCTCTCCCCCCGCTTCCCCTTCCCTCCCTCCGTCCACAGGTGTTCATAGCAGCGGGCACCATCATCCTCTGGGTGGGGTTCTTCGGGTTCAACGGCGGCTCAGTGCAGTACCTGGGGCAGCCCGCCTCCGTGTGGGTGGCCGACGTCGCGCGCGTGTGCGCCAACACCACCGTGTGCGCCGCCTTTGCGGGCGTGGCGGTGTGGTTTGTGACGTACCGGCGGAGGGAGCCGAATCTGGAGGACACGCTGAACGGCGTGATTGGCGGGCTCGTGGCCGCCTGTGCCACGAGCAGTATTGTGGAGGCATATGCTGCGTGCATCATTGGTGAGTGCATGCAGGGAGCTGGTGGGTCGGTGGTAAGGAGCTGGTGGGCTACGTTGGCAGATACGCGTCCCAGGGTATAATACGCTAGCGTATTATACGCTGGGTATATACGCGGTACGCCAGGGCTGGCGTACTGGTGATACGCAAAAATACGCTGGGCGGGCAGGTAAAACTTTTTCCCGGGCAGGGCTAAAAAAACCTGTTTCAGGGGGGGGGATTGTTTTCCAAGAACACAAGTCATAATTTAAATTTCATAAATATCCTGAAATACATATTTGGGGCTACTTCTCCCCATACATCCCCACCCCACCCCACCCTCTAGCTAGCTTCCCCACAACCGATTTCCTTGCGGGGCTTTTCCACCACCACACCTTCCCCATACTCATACACCAGCACTGCATCCTCTCCTTCCTCCCCCAGCATGTCATCCTCCTCCTCATCCATGTTATAGCCGGGGGGGATAGGGGCATCCGGGATGTTACCGGGCACAACCGTGCTGCCCCCATCCTTCTTGTACCAATTGCGCACAACGTTCCAGTTGTGCGCAATGTAGACGAGGTCCGCACACTTGGCGGACCCGAGCCGGTTGCGGCGGGCGGTGTGGACGCCTTCCCACTGCGCCCAGCCACGCTCGCATGGGGAAGCCAAGACGGGCTGAGTGAGCACCCGGCATGCGAGGGCGACAAGCTCAGGATACTCGGTGCTGTGCCACGACCACCACTGCACCATGCTCATCTCCCCCTTCTTCACTGCCTCCCTTGCAGAAATGGCGCCCGGCTTGCCAAAGCTGCCCTCCATGTTGATGTAGGTCAGCAATGCCTCCTGCAGCACAAGGGAGGCGCGGCGAGGGGCGCCATCCTTGCCACGCTTGAAGGTCTTGTTGTCATAGTGGCGCTCGATGTAGTCCTTGAACACCCGCGTGCACTCCACATCGTTCCTGAAAATTCCCTACTCCTGGTTGGCCGGATTCAGGATCCGGCCAACCACATGCATGGGGCAGGCAAGGGAGTTGTCCCACCTGTCCTTCACAATCTTGGTGATGTCTGCCCTCTCTGTCCGAGTCAAGAAGTCACTTGAAGCGTCGAGCTTGTCATTGATGTCCTCGGTAAGCTGTAGCATGATGTTATACAGCTTACCCATCATGCCTTTCGCGGAAGAGTCCGTGGCCCGCATGGCCTTGAATGGCACCGCCATGAGAGAGGTAAAGAACTCCGCCACCCCCCACCACTCCTCATCCATCACAGCAGCCCTGAATTTCTCAGCTGCTGTCTTCCTATCCTTGTCCGCCGCTGCCCACACCTTCCACTCGTCGCTGAGCACCATCGCCGCCAGCCCACTCCTCACCTCACATAGCCGGGCCATGGCTATGTATTGTGTCCCGAACCTGGTTCCCGCAGGCTTGAGCACCTGCTTCCCCCCCACTTTCTTCATATAGGCACGGGTAAAGTGGTGGTTGCGCACGAAGGTAATCATCTCCCCTCCTTTCTCCACAAGCCCCTTCGCCCATCCCATTTTGCCCATATCTTCCATCATCAGGTCCAGGACATGCGTGGTACATGGCACATGCTCAATGTGCGGCCATGTGCTCGCAATCTTCTTGGCGGCCGATGCATAGTTGCTGCCGCCATCGGTGCAGACCGCCACCACATTCTCCGGCCCCACCTTATCAATGACGGGGCGGAGAAGGCTGGCGATGTACCCCCCGGTCTACGACTCCATGTTGCAGTCCACCGCCTGCTCGAAAACTGCGCCGGAGTCGTTGACAAGGAGCACGTTGGCCTGCGGGCGGCCACAACGGTCGGTCATCATGTCCGACGACACCGTTACCCCGTCCCGCTTCCAGCTCGCGGCAACGGGGGCGAACGCGACCTCCATTTTCTGCCGCACCTTCTTCAAGCCTGCCCCTCCAATGTAGCGCCTCTTAGGAGGGACGTACCCAGGTCCAGCGCGCGCAATGCACTGGACCGCGTAGCGGAAGACCGGATCGTCCGCAATGCGCTCCGGAAGTTTCAACGCCGCGAACAGAAAGCAAAGCGCGTTATCCGCGTCCTCCTTGGCGCACGTCGCCTCATTGCCAAAGAAATCTGTAATTTTGCTCTTTTTCTCCGGGTTTCCACTGACAGCGTCAAGCGCGGAGTGAATTGCAGCAGCGGCCGCCCCTCGCTTCAAGTCCTGCTGTTCCGCCTTGGTCTCGTACATGCCACGGACTTCATCGCGGACTGCCGTGGGCGCGTCCTTGCATAACGCCACAGCGCGCTTCTCCTGCCCTTTCCATGTCGCGAGATGGATTGCACAGCGGTTTGTTCCGCCCTCGAACTTCTTGCCACAAAACTTGCACAGCTTGGGGTTGCCTTTGGTGTGAAATGGAATGAGGAAATGTTTCAGAATGGGGTGAGATAGTCCAGCCTCAACAGGATCCGTGTTGACGGTAGTAGAGCCATGGACAGAGGCTGGATTGTTGTTCGTCGAAGTACTAGGAGCTGAGCCCGACGCCATGGCGCACTACGTAAGTCTAACTAACGAAGAAGAGTGGAGAAATGCGGGAAGGAAAAGGAAGAGCATTTGCGCAACGTCGACCTATACGTGCAAACGATGGAAGAACATTTGAAGGGGGTGGTTGGGATTGAGAGGTTGGGTGGGGTGATGTGTGGTTGAGGGGGTGGGAAAGTTTGGATTTTGAAATTCGAAGTTCAGAAGTGGGGTTGGGCACATGAGCGAAGTCGCGGTAACACTTCGCGACTTCGCACATCGTCGCGAAGTTTTTCAATTTCGGATTTTTTTTTTCGCCGGGCTGCCCGGCCGTATTTTCGCGAATTCAGAGCGTATCAGCGTATCACGCATATACGCTAGCGAATATACGTGATACGCCAGCCTTTCAAGAGCGTATCTGCCAACATAGCTGGTGGGTCGGTGGTAAGGAGCTGGTGGGTCGGTGGTAAGGAGCTGGTGGGTCGGTGGTAAGGAGCCGGTGGGTCGGTGGTAAGGAGCTGGTGGGTCGGTGGTAAGGAGCTGGTGGGTCGGTGGTAAGGAGCTGGTGGGTCGGTGGTAAGGAGCTGGTGGGTCGGTGGTAAGGAGCTGGTGGGTCGGTGGTAAGGAGCTGGTGGGTCGGTGGTAAGGAGCTGGTGGGTCGGTGGTAAGGAGCTGGTGGGTCGGTGGTAAGGAGCTGGTGGGTCGGTGGTAAGGAGCTGATGGGTCGGTGGTAAGGAGCTGGTGGGTCGGTGGTCAGGAGCTGGTGGGTCGGTGGTCAGGAGCTGGTGGGTAGGTGGTCAGGAGCTGGTGGGTCAGCGTCACACCTGGCACCTGGCAGCACCTCTCCAGAGATTGATTCGAGTGTACCTGCCAATTCGTTTCTCCTTGCATACATCATCCATCCATCCATCTCCCTGCATGCATCATCCATCCATCCATCTCCCTGCATGCATCATCCATCCATCTCCCTGCATGCATCATCCATCCATCTCCCTCCATCCGCCTTTCAGGGGCCATAGCAGGCGTGGTGTACCTGGGGGGGGTGTATCTGGTGAATAAGGCCCGCATTGACGACCCTGTTAATGTGAGTCTCACTGCCTTGCTCGCTAGGTGACTTTTGAGTCGACTCAAAAGTCAGCTCGCTGGCTCACTGCCTCGCTCGCTGGCTCACTGCCTCGCTCGCTGGCTCACTGCCTCCCTGCCTCCATGCGTCTTCTCCCATCGTCGCTTCATGTCCCCTTGGGGGGGTGTATCTGGTGAATAAGGCCCGTATTGACGACCCTGTTAATGTGAGTCCCATTGCCTCACAGCCTCAAAGCCTCACAGCCTCATAGCCACACAGCCTTACAGCCTCACAGCCTCATTGCCTCATTGCCTCATGGCCTTACTGTTTCAGTGCCTCTCTGCTTCCCTGCCTCCATGCCTCTTCTCCCACCGTCGCTTCATGTCCCCTTGTCCCACCCACCATGCATCCCTCCTAGGGATGAGCAAAGGGCGAACTCGAACACGTTCGGGTTCGAGTTCGCTCGAACATCACCATTTCCCGAACTGAACAAGGTTCGGTTCGGCGAACAATTTGGCAAGCAGGAGGTGTTCGCCGTTCGCCCATGGGGGCGAACATTTGGTATATGTGGGCGAACTCGAACATGTTCGGTTCGAACATGTTCGAGTTCGCCCGTGGGCAATTTCGTTATAGTCACATTGGTCAAACAGGGAATCTGGAGGGTTGGGAAGATAGATAGGGGGGTGGAGGGTGTATATGTGTTCATGCAACGCACACTAGCATACGACACCATCATGTTTTGCCTATATAAAAGTCACTGTCAAATTAAATCCTACGCCTGCACACCACTGCTACTACCAACAACAGCATGCTCCGCGTCAGAGGTGTCGCCAGCACCCACCCCCTCCTGCTCCTCCTCCCCCTCCTCCTCCCACTCGTCGTCCTCATCCTCCCCCTCGCCTTCAATGGCGAACTCTGGTGGTGCCTCGCCTTTTGCACGTCGGCCCTCGCCTATCCTCTGTCCAGGGTGTGAGCTGTACCATGATCTGAGAATCATGGAAGCTTGCGTCCTCTGAGAGGCTAGGCGGTGCCGCTTCCAGGAAATGAGGTTGCGGCCGAGGGAGAACACGCGCTCGCTCGACGCGGACGTGGCAGGGATGGCAAGATAATCCCGGGCCATGCGCTTCAGCGTCTGCATGTTGGTGGCGCTGCGCCAATACTCCAACGCTGACACGTCGCACCGCACCCTCTCAGATAAGTACCTGCCAACCTCGTCATCCTGCACCATCCCACCCCTCCCCACCTCCTAGCTCGCCGACAGACACGCCGCAAGGCGTCGGCGACTGGGGAGAAACTCGGCGTCTTCGTCGTCATCCGCCGCGTCTCCCTCCTCCTCCTCCGTCACTGGGGCAAGTGGGGTCGGCCGAGGGGCAATCGCTGCAGCCCGGGCCTGGTACTTGGCCACGCGTTCGCGAACCAGCTGGATCACCTCGCCTGACGAGGAACGAGGCCTCGCCCTCCGGTCGGTATCGGGATGCAGCGTCTCCCAGTGCGCGTCGTCGAACCACGCCGCCTTCATGGAAGGGTCCAGGAAGGTCGCGATCCACAACTCGTTGCTTGACATCAGCTCATACTTCTTCAAGAGACTCAGCGCCGCCTCAATCATCGGCTTCAGCGTAGCCGATGGCCCCTTGGCAAGGCGCGACTCCATAGCGTCGATCAGGCCGTTGTAGTACGGCAGGACCATCGCCACTGTAGGGTACGCCGCTCCCTCCGCGGCCTTTGAGACTTTGGCGAATGGGCTGAGGAAGGTCTTGACAGAATGCAGAGTCTCCCAGTCTGCGTCCGTCAGGCGCAAGGTGTCCAGCTTCGCCTTGTCAGCCTTCGACACGCCCTGTCGGGTAGAACGTATGGGTGGGCGGGTGTTAGGGTGGAAAGTGGGGTGGTTGAGGTTGTTGGAGGTCCGATAAGTTTAGTCAAGCATGGCCAACAGTGGTGCAAGTCCTAGAACAAAACACCCCGACATACCAACACATAAAACCGCATACACAACACCTGGCACACACACACACCTGTGTCTGGGCAAAGAAGACAGAGATGGGTTCCTGCAGAACCCCAGCTCGCTCGACCATGTCGTGGGTCGACCCCCAGCGTGTGGGACTGTCCTGCACCAGCTTCAATGCCGGCTTCGGTTTGGCGGGGTTGCCCTGCGCGTTCAGGGTCCGCTGAAGGCCCAAGAACTTCCCTGAGCGCTGCGGCAAGAAGCCTATCCACGACGCCATCTCTCTCAGAATCTTCAGCAACTTGCGGATGGCGGTCACAGCGAGAGCTGCCTTCACTGCAAGGTTGATCACGTGTGCCAGGCATCTGCGCACATCACAAAACATTAATGGCGGAGAGAAAGGGAAGTGTGAGTACACATTGGCATAGACCCGAGAAACACTACCACTCTCAAGCCGCATAGGCCCACCCGCCCGTACTACAACCACAAAATGTTCACAGGAACGACGCACCCAGACTCCCTCATCGCACATCCCACGCACACTCCCTTTCGTACCGGAAGTGCATGCGCGAGTTGAAGAAGCACTGGCCACCACCCTCCTCCGACATCCACCTGAAAGCAGCAGTGTTGCTGGAGGCGTTGTCTGAGGTGAACCCAAGACAACGCGTCTCCAACCCCCACTGCACCACCGTCTCCTCAACCACCCTCGCCATCTGCTTGCCCGTGTGACGCCCGTGAATCTCGCGGAATTCAAACACCATTGTGCGGAGCTGGTAATTCTCGTCGATCCAGTGACCCGTTACCACTAGCCACGCCCTGTTGTTGGGCGCCGACCACATGTCGATGGTGAATGACACCCTGCACCCCAGCTCCCCCTCCTTCGCCAGCATCTCCACAATGGCTGACTGAAGAGCGGCAGCCGCATAGACCACTGTGTCGCGGGAAACCGTCCAGCGCGAGGGGATGAAGTTCTTCTGCGCGCAGTTGCGGTTTAGCAGGATGAGTAGCTCATGAAACTGGAGAGGGGTAGAGACAAGGGGGGAGAGGGGAGTAAACGTCAGGGGGATGGGATGAAAATAATATAGCACTGGGCCACACGCAAACAGTCAAAACACAAAGGGACAGACCCGTCCACTAACCACATACTTGCCCAATCATGCATGGGATGGGATGGGGCACTTACAGCCTCGGCCTCGACGATGCGGAAGGGGAGGTCGCAGGTGACCACCAGCTTCGTGATCGCCTGCCGTAGCTGCACCGAGGTCAGTTTGGTTGTCATCCACCGCTCCATCCCGCCTGACACATGACCTCCACCAGTCGCCATCCCTTTCCCCTTGGCGAGCTGCGGCCAAGTCTTGGCATGTGGCCACTGATAGACGTAGCCATCCGGCACTCCCTTGTAGCCCCCATGGGGAAACGTCTCCCCTGGCAAGTGAACGGACGGGGTGTGGTAACGGGGATGCCACACATGCATGTGCGCAGTGTGGAAGCTCGCAAAGTGCCGCTCGCCAGGGGTTGTTGTGGATTGCTTCCACGAAAACTTGTCTGTGCAAATCTTGCACTGACGCTTATCGTCTGCCCCTAACGGTCCAAACATCATTACTTGCCACCCCGGCTTCCTATTACCCTTGCCAGTCCCCTTACTACTCTTGGACCCTCCGTCCTCGTCTAGGAACTCGGGAGCGATCACACCCTCGCCCAAGGGCTCCCCAGTGAACGTGCAGGGATACGCCCGCTCCCTCAACTTGTTGGCCTTCTTCCTCTGCCTCGGCTCCCTAATGGTCACGGCCTTTCTCCCCCCCACCTTAACCCCCACGCTCCCTCCCCCTTCACGCACATGCTGTGATCCCGCCTCTGTCGCCGCCCTTCCACCACCCTCTCCCACCTCCTCCTCCCGCCCCTCTGACTCCAACCGATCCATCTCGTGGTCTTCATCATCATCATCTCCCCCCTCCCCACCGCCATGCGTCTCTGGGTCCCACGCCGCCTTGCTGTCATCCCCGCTCCCCTCAGTGTCCTCCTCCTTCTCGCCCTCACCATACTCCTCCTCATCCTCCTCCTCACTGCCGCTCTCCGGCTGCGTCTGCGTCTGCCCCGAAGGAGGGGGTCGAGGGCCGTCGTAACGGAAAGAGCGACGAGAGGTCGGCGCCGGTACGGTAAGCAACCCCCCAACGAAGATCGCGCCGGCTCCTCCCGGTCCATCCCCTACTCGCCCCTGCATAGGTCGTGGTGGAGAACCCGGTGCGCTGCCCTGAGCCCTGCCTGCACCTCGGCCTATGGATCCACCAGCCCTGGAAGCCATAACTCCGCCCTCGACCCTAAACCCTAAAACACCCTTCCTGCAACGGTAGCGTTGGATGGTGCCGCACGTTCCTAAACGTTATCCCGCACGGTTAGGTCTCTGAAATGCCCGATCCGAATCCTACGGCGTAGGATACGCCCTACTTGAGCCCTTTGCGGAGATGCTGGCTGAACCTTAATAGTAACCCTAAACACCCTACACTACGTTAAACCCTATGCATAGATCTAATGTCCGTGTACATTGCAAGTATCAGCGTGCACTTGCTTGCACCTAGAACAAGAAGGCGAAAACGAGTTCTGAGTTTGAGCTCACGAAATGAGCTCAAACACAAATTGGTCGCGACCTAAATCTGGTCGCGGCCAATTTTGACGCGAACCTTTTTGGTGTTCGTGTGGCCCCCAAGTCGAACACAAACATGTTCGTGTTCGGCTTGGAGACCCGAAATTCTGGTGCGAACGTCGAACATGTTCGGCCGAACACCGAACATGTTCGGCCCGAACAATTTAGGCAAAAAAAAATGCCTGTTCGAGGCGAACCGAACAGGCGTTCGGAATTTTGCTCATCCCTAATCCCTCCCCACCCCTCTCTCCGCACCTCCACCCCAGCGGACGCCAGTGCCGTCCCGCCTGTGCGTTGCAATTGCAATTGCATTTGCTTCTAGTGCCCCAGCACCAGAAGCATGTGCATTTGCTTCTAGTGCCCCAGCACCAGAAGCGTGTGCATTTGTGCCGTGCCGCCTGTGCGCAACCTGACTTGCTCTTGTCTCTGCACCGGACTTCCCCATCACCATCCGTCCCAACCCACCCCACTCGCCATGTCCCATCCACAGGCCACAGCGGTGCACCTGTGCTGCGGCACGTGGGGGAGCGTGGCCGTGGGCTTCTTCGCCTCGCCAGCAGCAGTGCAGCGCACCTACCAGTTCTCCGACCCCGTGCCCTGCGGCCTCTTCTACGGCTGCGGCGGCTCACAGCTGCTCGTGCAGGTGAAGTCTGGTGGGGTGTGATCTGCTCGTGCAGCTGCTCATGCAGGTGAGGCCTGGTGGAGGTGTGATCCGCACGTGCAGGTGAGGGGGCAGATGTGGTTCCAGGTGTGAAAGTAGTAAATTGAACAAGTAACTTCATTAGAGGAGAAACCTAGCATACATCGTTGGAAGAGAGGCTTGGAAGAGAAAGGCGAATGTGACCATAGGTTGGGTTGACCTCACTTGGGGGAGTGAAGCAACCATAGGTCAAGTGGGTTGGGTTGCCCACACTTTGTAGAAGTGAGGCAACCCTAGGCCCACTTGTCTTGAGATGACCTCTTTTGTGGGAAGTGAGGCACCCATAAGCCAAGTGGGTTGCATTTGGGGGCCCCACCACAATTGGGTGGATTGGCACCCCAAAGTGCAAGACTACACCCAAAGTTGGGTGTAGTCCCAACCCAACTGTACACCACAATTGGTGTACAGTCACATGTGTTGGCATGCTACACAATATATAATTCTAACACCAGGTGCCTCTATAGTAGCGTCTATTTACTCTCTCCTATGTAAACGCACATCCCATCCACTTTTTTTAACTGTTTTAAAGATCGTTAATTGACTGGCTCTCTCTCGTATGTAGACGCACATTCCATCCGCCCTGTGCCTTGCGGCCTCTTTGGCGGTTGTGGAAGAACACAGTTGCTGTAAAGGGGCACACAGCTGCCGTAAAAGGCACTTGCAATCACAAGGGCGTGTCATGTCATGTCGTGTCATGTCACGTCATGTCATGTCATGTCACGTCACGTCAAGTCATGTCATGTTACGTCATGTCATGTCATGTCACGTCATGTCACGTCATGTCACGTCACGTCACGTCACGTCACGTCACGTCACGTCACGTCATGTCATGTCATGTCACGTCATGTCATGTCACTCCACTTCCTGTCATGTCACTCCACTTCCCCTGTCATGTCCTCCCAGTGCGCTGTAGTGCTTCTTGTCAGCCCTCCCATCGCTCTTTCCATAGCTTCACTCACTCTATCTCTCTCCGTCTCCCTCTCTCATCCCCCACCCTCCCTCTCCTCAATCGCAGATCCTGGGCCTTCTATTGGTGTACGCGTGGGTGGGCCTCTCGTCCTTTGTCCTGTTCTACGCGCTGCACTATTTCGACGTGTTGCGAGTCAAGAGGCACGAGGAGGAGGTGAGACGGGGAGGCATGGATGGGAGTGTGTGTGTGCGAGGGGAGGGAAGCGGGTAAAGGGAATAGGGGATGGTTATGCGGATGGGGGATTGGGGGAATTCAATTCAGCCGGCGTCTCATGGTTTGTTTCATTCTCCCTTCACTTGCATGATTCTAGTTTTGTAGGTGCCTCTAAATTCGTTGCAAGGTTTGTGCTTCTTCAACCTTCACTTGAATGGGTCATCGAATTTTCTGAGGCGTCTGCCGGATTACATGCTCATGGTCACTCAGATTTTAATTATCCGATCCTGAGTTTCGTGTCTTTGATCTTGATTTGCATCATTGTTTACAAGTTTCTGTGTCGATTCGTTTCTTGCACTTCACCCAAAATCGAACACGGTCCTTGGCTGGTTCGCACCCGATTCAACTGTTTACCTTGATTTTAGGGTTTACAGTATTCCCTCTCTCGACTGGGTACATTTCTCTCCTTCTCTACTCACAGGGGGGGTTGGGCACGGCATATCACGGGGTTAACGACGATCACAAGGTTTGAGTCGACTCAAAAGTCAGCTCAGCTCAACTATAGGCATATCTCTTTCTCCCTCCCTCTCTGCTGACAGGTGGGGCTGGATGTGGCATTCCACGGGGGCAACGACGATGACGAGGCGTTTGACGTGGTGGAGGATGGCGACAGCATGGCACGCAGGCTGCTGACGTGGCGCAAGCTGCAGGTGTGTGGTGTGGGGGAGAAAACATCGTGTGCTGACCTGGCACATATGTCCTTGCTGGGTTGACTGCTGAAGGGTTTCACATCATCTTTGCGCTGATTGGCATATGAAGTTCTGTTACAACCCATGATTGGCATATAAAGTTCAGTTATAACCCATGATTGGACATTGTCGCAATCAGTGCTGGTGTGACAATGTCCATCCATCATCCATCCAGGCTTCAGAATGCCTGCTTCACCTTCTTCCCCTGCTCCATCACTGCTCTCTTGGAAACCCTTATCTTCAAACCACCTTCTTGCTTGTTTCTTCTCATCTTAGCATCTGCACACGTGTCATGTCATGCAACCCCTTTTTCTCCATTCTCGGACCTCTTTTTCTTTTAGACCTTGACAAAATCCGTTGTTACAAGCTGCAACATAATACCTCCCTCCCCATCCCTCTCATCTGACCTTTTGCGTCTCTCCTTTTACCCTCCAAACTCTCGCCCCAGTCAACAGAGCAATCGCCCCTGTGCAAACTCTCTCCTCCAATGCTCTCATTCACCACCTGAGCACGCTCGCCCATCCCAACACCTGTCTCGCCCGTTCATCTCTTTTTTCTACTCTCCCCTTTCCCCCTTCCCCCCTCCTCCCCTTCCCACTGCGCAACCAGCATTTCTCAACGCTCTTCTCCCGAGCAGCCGCCAAGAACACCAGCCGCCACAACGGATATGATTTTTCAGGCATCTGAAATCCCCCCGCTCCTCCCCTTCCCCACCCACAACACAACCAGCATGTCTCAACGCTCTTCTCCCGAGCAGCCGCCAAGAACACCAGCCGCCACAACGGGTACGGCCCAACCGGGGCGGCAGGCAGGGACGGCAAGGGCGGCAAGGGGGGCGGCAAGGGCGGCAGCCTGAGCCAGCTGGCGCAGAGCCTGCACCCCAAGGGGTGGAACGTGGGGGAGAGGAAGGCGCGGCGGCCTGTGTGGCACAAGGCACTGGAGGGCACGCACCTGGGGCGATTCTCGCTGGCCATGTATGAGGCCAACTATATCATGGAGGACACTGTTGAGGTGAGTGCTGCAGTGCAGCGTGCTGGTTTGTTTTTGGAATCTGGAACCTGGTCAACTGGAATCTGGAAAGTCTTGTCTTCCCGTGTGGCACAAGGCGTTTGAGAGCACGCACCTGGGGCGATTCTCCCTGGCCATGTATAAGGCAACTATATCATTGAGGATACTGTGGAGGTGAGTGGGGTGCATTGGTTTCTTGGCTGCATTGCAAGTGGACTAGAAACTGGAAACTGGTAACTGGTAACTCGGCCCGCGTTTCTCCCTGGCCATGTATGAGGCCGGCTACATCGTGGAAGATACTGTAGAGGTTAGTACAGTGCATTGGTTTCTTGATTGTTCGTCAACTGGTAACTCGGCGCATGTGGAACAAGGCCCTTGAGTTGAGAACACACGCCGCTATCTCCGTTTCTCCTACGTTTCGCTCAAGTCTTTTTGTTGAGCATTGATGGTCCACCTGTTCTTATCCCATCTCCTCGTGATGTGTGCGCAGGTGCAATCGTCGAGTCGCGGGGTGTTCATCGGGATTCACGATGGGCACAACGGGAGTGAGGCGGCGGAGTTTCTACGGGAAACACTGTACAACAACATCATGAGTGAGTGTAACACTATACAACAACATCATGAGTGAGTTTGTATTTTAGGCACCTCAAAAAAGCATTGTACAGCCACATTATGAGTGGGCAACGCACTCTGCAACAGTAGATTGAGCTGACTTGTCAGATCGTTCCACCAGAGATCCGGCCCGGCCCGTTCTCACGGCCAAGTGAGGCCCAAACACTGCAATATTTTTCACAAGTCAAGCAATGTGCAGGTGGGTCGTCTGGTGGGCTGTCCCCACTGTGTGAAGCCACCCGCTCTCCCTCCCTATCAACTTGTCTTCCTTTTGCCGTTGGTGCAATCTCGCTTCACTTGCATGTCTCTTGTCCCCAGGCGAGTGCACGGAGGGCAACGGGGTGTCAGTGGAGGCGTTGCGGAAGGGCTTTGACGCAACAGAGAGGCAGCTGGCGGCCATTGTGAGGGAGGCGTTTGAGGAGAGCCCGCACCTGGCCATGGTGGGGGCGTGCTCTGTGGCCGCCCTCAT